TTTGTTCCTATTCACCACCACTTCACTCATGTGGCTGTTTCTCTGAGGAATCCTCCCTAAATAATGTGTTCTACATCTAATGATCACAAGATAGTATACGATTATGGGTACGATGATATGAGCGTTGAGAGCAAGATCCAACATTACTTAAACAATCTAGGCGATTGGAGCGAAAAGTGGCAACTGACTTTCAACTCAGACAAGCGCGGTATAGCCCACCTTGGACGCTGGAAACCGAGAATGTGCCTATAAATGTACGGTGGGCTCCTCTCGAAAGTGAACACAGTCCCAGATCTTGGGATAACATAACCAGATTTAACCTTTTCCGATCATGCAAATAAGGTTGTATCTGACTGTAAACGACTTGCTGGCTTTGTACTGCGTAACTTCTACACCCAAGAAGCAGGATTAGCTATATACAGAACATGTATCAGCCCCAAACTTGAATATTGTGCTCTTCTGTATAGTAACCTAAGGTCTGCAGGCCGAAAAAAATCGAAAGTGTCCAGAGATTCCTAACGAAACGCATAAAAGGGTTTGACCAACAAGTGGAATACGTTGACAGGTGTATTCGTCTGAATTTAGAACCTCTGTGGTTAAGGAGAGTGAAGTGCAACTTATTTCTACTATTCAAAGTCGTTAGGAAACATTGCTATAGTAACTCATCCATAACGTGGGAAAATATTAAATCATATCAGCTGCGAAACCACGACTACCTTGTCAAGGTGGCTACCCACAGAAAATCCATCAGGGCAAACTTTTTCACCATTAAATATTGCACTCTTCGGAACCAAATACCATCTGAAATTAGATGTTGTGAAAACCCCGATGTGTTCAAACGGAGCCTGTTAACTATAGCTCGTCCAAAAGAATACAACAGTTGGTAGAACGGAAATTGAAAGCCAGTCCAGTCTTCAGTATAGTCACATACGTATAACTCGACTCTACTACTTAAGCAGCGAACGTGTAACTAATCTACTGATTTATATTGTCTATAATCTTCACTAAGTTGTTTTAGTATAAGCAACTCTGGAAATGATTATATTAGCAACCACACCTTTTAATATTTTACATATATGTACAGTTAATAATAAAATGCTACTTTTTGTGTCGAAATGACTTTACTCAGTCAATAACTACCCTTTATCATATACTTTTCTAAAATGTATAATTTTATAACGTTCCGCAGTATTTTTAACATCATATAAGTTGAAGGGTTACTTTGCAATGTCTGATGCGTACCGTATTAAAATCGGTCGTGAAAATTCAGCATGGCTAGCTCTCTTAACCAGCTGTTTTCTTCAGGATTCTTCAATATGTTCCACTACCCATTTTACTCAGCTAAATAGACTATAACTTAGTTGCTGTAATACTAGCTACTTCTATACTTTATACCTCTTAAAGTAAACGCAATTTCCTGGGCGTTTGTCCTATCTACGTAGGGCAGGCATGGATAAGTGTTATTTACATCACATGAATTTGATTTATGGTGAAATTACATGGTTGCTGTCATTTCTGACATCAGTTTATGAGTACAGTCTGCTAGGTAGTCATTCGATTTTTTTCCTTCACGTTCCCCAGGGGAACATAGGGCTTCAACCTAATGGCTTGAAGTTTCTGTAGCAGTGTTTATTTTACAGGATGGGGTTGCCAGCCTCATGCCCAACCTTTACTCTTCACCAGCATTATTTCCGGCTTAGCGAGGTAAAGGAGCGCGTCGGCCGGGGGTCGAACCCCGGACCACGTGCATGGTCAGCGAGCGTCCTAACCGCTATACCACCGACACACAGTCATTCAATGGAGCACATTAAGAAATACAGAAATATTGTCTTCGCATTAACAAAAAAAACCCAAGTATGTGTTGGATGGATTACAAACCAGTGACATGTCAAACAATGACCTAAATTATCTTAAAAATGATGTTCTGAAACTCAGGTGTCCAGATTCACTCTCAGTCATTCTTCTTTTAGTCAATTCACTATGTATGAAAGAAAGGCCACCAACTCGAAATCTACTCTTTTTCTGTTTGGCGTCTGTTATCCTCGTAACATAAGCCTGGTGCTCTCCAAGTGAAAAAGATTCTTAGTCGGCAATAGGTGACGCATGGGTACGTGTGACGGGGAAGTTATTATTTATATTCACTCACCTCTTAGGCATTTTGCATTGAGTTCACGCACAACTCTAGTGGAATGGCGGTCGCAAATGGATGTTTCGAAATATTATTGGTCGGAGGACTCGTAGAAAGCACTGTCAGAGCATCAGCAAACGACGATACTGCCTCTACGTGGAAAGCAGTTCAAGGACGAGAATGAATAGGTAAAACTAAGAAGCGGCATAGGAAGTGATTGTTATTCCAACCATATCCCTATCCTCTTCTAGTGAAGATATTAAAAGGTTGATAAAGAATGTTTATTACTAGTTTTGGCATCAGACAAATGGAGACCTTATCTGGTGGTCCAACGGTTCCACACTAAATCTGGTCAGAAGCCTTGACAGTTCATGAAGATATCATTGGGCTCTTTAGGGGCCCCGCCATGGAGCATTGACTCAGAGGGAGAATGAAAGAATTTGGGTGGCGTGGTACCTGAAAGCCTACGACATGATTCGATACAAGAATGCCAGCAATCAGCGCATATACACATATCCACAACAACTGACAGATCACTTACTAGCCAGGCATGACAGACAGTGTTTGAAAATACATGCTGGACTGCCCACATTATAGCTGAATGGAAGGTGATTGGTACAGACGACTGCTGTCATATCTACTTCCAGCTCAGATGGTCCGTGGTCCGTGGACTCAACGGGACCTTACACAGATATCTAATATCCAACATCATAACCGACTGCATAAACCAGTCTGACTCTCTGAGGTCGCTTCTTTGTAGTGGGTTGACAATTCTTAATCTTGTATGAGCTGCTTCTTAGTTCCCGTGACTCACTTACCTTGGCTTTGGCAGGCCTCGACTAGAGTAGCACAGGACGTTGGTTATATTTCGTCTGTTGTATGTGGTGTTTAAGACGATTGGGTACTGCAACTAGAATTAGTCCTTTCATCCGCCAGTCTCCTGGCGTGGTCTAAGCGCCTGATAATAAAATCAGCGGCGAATATGTAAACTTACAAAGGCGAACAAACGAGCAGATGACTAAAAATGACAATTACAAAAGGAACGGATGGATAAATAGAATGAAGTGAGGAAGACTGTGTGGGAATTTAGGACGAGTTTCGTCGAAATGCATCGGTACAAACTGTGTATGTGCGGGTGCGTAGGTTCCTGAGTTCAGCCACTTTACCTCCTCAAGCCATGACGTTGCAGTGTGAGACAGAGATAGGAAATATAATATATATATATTCATATTGAGTCTCGCCACATAGCTTAATCGTGAGGCGAATGGCATAGGGGAAACTACTGGGTAAGGAGTTGCTGTCAGAACTAGTTGTTTGATTCTAGTACGATCAGCCTGCAGCTGTTTTTTCCGTGGAGTCCTCTCTCAAAACTTCAGTGACCATGATTTCCCCTCTCCTCGCTTTAGTACACAAGACACACCCTAACCTCAGTTTTTCTACTCCTTAAGACTTGAAGTCGACTTCGGACATCAAATGTCTCCGCTCACCTTATCTATGGCATCCTGCGAATTGTCGGGTCTGTGAAGTCAGTTGGTTAAGTTGATAGCATGAATTTGAGCCTATTTTCCTGTAATTCTCAACTAGAAATAAAATTCATGAATAGTGTGCGACCAACAGCACCTGAGCATTTCCCACACAAATGGCCGACTCTTTAACATGCTTCACCTGATGGCCAGGCTACTGTTAACAGCACTACATCTATTTAAGGGAGAATCCAACAGTGTAGTAATCTCCTAGAATACCAGTTCACGAGTCAGTTGACTGCTATCTTCAGGCTATACTCCACACACGCTGTTACCTCTCTAATAAAACGATGGAGTAGTAAAACTATCCATATAAAGAAGGGATTAACTTTTGAACTGCGGGAGTATAAGTTGCAGTGACACCCGAGATAAGGTATTGGAAGGAATGATCAATAAAGCTAACACCATTTACCCAAAAATGATTTGCAATACCAGACTTGCTGAGTGAAATCTAAGGATAACAAAGTACCAGTCGATGTCATTTATATGGACTTTAGCAAAGCACTTGATAAGTTACGTCATACCAGATTGCCCGTAAAAGTGGAAAGTTTTGGAAGCAAACTATTCACTATAATCGAAGAGTTCCCTGTGGGTAGCTGGCTGGGAGGATAGAGCTACAAAGTGGCGTACCGCAAGGTAACATACTCAGCCTCCCCTTATTTGTACCCTAATATTAACGAATCATTGTGGACCACTAAATCGTCCATGGTTCCCTTCGTCGACGATCAAAATTTGAAAGCACCGTGACACGGCAACACTAAAAAGTAGATCACAATTTCCGGCTACGACGGTTTGTACAAAGGATATTTACCATCAATGAAGTGATTATTTTTATGAAGCAGGCAGTCATTTACGTTGGGTATGCATATGGCAACATATTCAATATGAAGGAAGCACCTCTCCTCTCAGCTCAGACTCATAATAATATAGGTTTCAGGGCAGGCTGAACTTGCCCAAAAATTGACACACATATTGAGAAGAATTCAAACAATTACTGAATGTATGTTATCCTGAAAATCGTTTCTTAGAATGATAGAAGGAAATACTGCAGACCTGATTTACCTACTCTCTTACTTATTGACAGGTATAAACACCTCAAAGGGTATGAAACATTGGGTTTTAGACACAGGGAAGAGCTATTATGCTGTAAAATGCCGATTCTTTGACCATGTAACCAGCTAATGAAACCAGCTCCCAGAAGAAGTATCGTCTTCATTTTCAGTAGACTGGCTTAATAGGGAGAAAATGTAGACACTTAATTGTAAGGAAATAAAGTGTGGCAGTAACTTTTCATCCCCAGTGAAACATTTGAGTATGATTCACAATGAATTGTTTGTCTTCATCAAATTCAAAGGTCTACGTCACTTGGCAAATAAGAAACAGCCGGCATGCCGTGCTATAACTTTAAGAGTATAACGGTTGTTCCGTCATCAAAGGACTTTATTGATATTGTTTTATCAAAAACACAAAGGAAAACACCTACAGTTATCCATCCTCAGTATGCTATCGGACGTATCAGGCATTTTTATATGCGTAAAGTCAAGACATGTCAGCAATTTTTCCATGACAAGCTTCAGACAATCATTACAGAATTCCCTAAAGTTGAGGTAAATACACACAGTCCTATGATATAGGTTTCAGAATATTCACCCATTTTATGCGGATCTTATCAACGTGTTATACTCTAAGGACCATTATAAACTAGCATTAAGTCAGCTGAATACAGCTAAGAACTTGATTGATGGGTAAGTTTCCTGGATCGTATTTAATTTTTCTTCAGCATTTCTCGAGATCAGGTTAAAATATTAAAGTATGCAGAGTCTTTATATCAATGTAAAACACTGAAGAGAGCTGCACTCGGAAGGCAAGTTCATCATGCAATATTTAATTTTTAGTTAGGATGTGTACAGTGATTAAAAGACAGGCAGACAACTTGAAGTTTTTAGAAGATACAAGACAGCATATGTCAAGATTGCCATCCATTGATCCGGATACACGCACACTTATTCTGTGTGGTTTCCCGAATGTTGGAAAGTCTAGCTTCATTAACAAGGTGAGCTAAAATGTACTGTCTTTTGCAAGTTATCTGGCTTATTATCCACTATTCATACTGTTTTGAGACTAGATCACTAACCGATACTTTTGTTTCCGGATGTCAAAACTGAGTCTGATTTAACTTAAGTGCTAAGTTTTTGACATACAGCGCAGCAGCCTTCACGTGATAATAGAATAGTTTGAAGAGGTCAATAGGAGCAGTTGTTACAAGATGATTTGGACTTGTTTTTTACTTTATAGAGGTCCTAACCTCCAAAGTTGGCCAAGATTATAGAAAATTATGGGTATTAAAGTGTATTATGGCTTTGGATAGATCTCGGTAGATGCTGGTTTGGTAGTTGAGTACTACAATCGCTTGTTTCTCGGTTGAGATGTCACAGATGTAGTGTAACTAACTATTCCGTCTTAAAGGAAATCTTATTTCTAATGCATCCACCCTAATCAGTCCTTGACGAAGTGATTGTGAATTATTGTGATCAGTCTTCACGACATTCAGCAATGGAAATTTTAAGGTTATAAGATTTATGAAAACTTTTTATGTGTTATCATGGTTTCAAGGGACCTGGTTTTTGGCTAACCTGATGTACAGGAGTTTGAATCAACTGTGTCACTTCCTTAAAGTATCTGATATTTAGAACTGAAAACACTAGTGACATTTGTTTCAGAATGTTTATGGTCATGGTGTAACGAAAATTCGTAACCCTTTTGGTTGCAGGACAGATGTTCACTAGTGAGAATGTCAGTAGCACTATAGTGTGAATTGATGGCATGTGATACTTATAGGATTTTGAGATCCAGCTCATCGCCTGAAGGGCTAACGTGCCCAACTCTCCAAGTAAACATCCTGAGTTTATCCCTCATATAGACACTGTTGGAAAAAAAGCAGCTGCCCAGTGCTGTATCATTTCATAACAAAATCTGCAACCGAATTAATCAATTTCCTGAAACCTTAGGTTAAGGAAGACATTTATCGGACGTTCTTTCGTGTGTCCTTGTTTTCCAGCTTTTTTAAAATGCATATTTACTGAGTTATTTGTGTCTATATACTAGGTAGTTGTGTGATTCGGTACGCATTAGACCTGACAATGAAAAACAAAACAACCCTGAAATGTTATTTTATGATTGTTTAGAGTTGTTTCAACCAAATTAACTGATCATCTTGGCGATTAACATTCTTAAATATCATTTCATAACTTCTTGTGTGACTACAGCTATACTGTCACCATGCATAATCATATCATAGCTTCCACTACCCAATACTGAGATATTATTTTATGTTGTTTCCTTTCCTTTCTACTTCTTGGTATTTTTTAGTATTTAAAAAATTATTTTGTGCTTTTCCTGTTGTTTTTTTGGTGTCTTTATATTTATTTTTTTGAAATACCCCTTTTAAATGTCTGATAAAATTAGATGCAAATATTGTAGATATGTGCTGAAAATTCCACACTGTAACACTAGTACTGTTTCTGGAATAAAGCAAATTACTATTTAAAAAAACTTTGTGTAACCATCCCAAAAATAGCTTGTTGAGTTGAGAGATCGATAAAAAGCTAGTGTTTTTACACATTTAATGCAATCTAGACAACTTTTGCTTTTCCTGTTTAGGTATCATTTCAATTTATTTTAAGTTTGTGAGTCATACTGGATATTAGGACTGTATAAACTACCCACTGACCAAAAAGACTTGTGTTACTGCATGTTATCCTTAACTGACAATCTCTTATTTTGTATTACGTTCCCTTTTTTTGTAGATAACTCGAGCTGATGTAGATGTTCAACCATTTCCATTCACTACTAAATCTCTTTTCGTTGGACATACAGATTATAAAAATCTGCGTTGGCAAGTTATTGATACACCTGGTGTATTGAATAGACCACTTGATGAACACAACACCATTGAAATGCTGTCGATTACAGCTCTTGCACATTTACAAGCTGCTGTCATCTATATCATGGATTTATCTGAACAATGTGGATATACTATCCAACAACAATTGGCATTATTTCAAAATTTGAGACCACTATTCAGAAATAAACCGCTTGTTATAGCCGCTAATAAGGTAAGAGAAGTTTATGTTTGATTGTTTTTGTGAGAGTGAATCATCAGGCGTGCAGCAGTTTCATGTATAAAGGTAATTGTCAGTGTTAGTGTTTGTATGTTGCGTTTTCAGAGTTGCTGAGATTTTGTCTAATGCTATTCGCTCCACTTGGTTAGAGTGCTAACCACGGCCTAATAAAGATGTTTTAGGGTCCAACAGGGATTGATAAATTCAACCTATTGAGTCATTCATAGGTAAATAAAATCCTCCTTGAAAATGTACACTTATTGAGTTTTATGTCTTGTGGTCTGAACCAGGCCAAGTTAAACCTTAAATACCGGCAAGTACCAACAGGATGCGGCCACACTGATGCCCTAAAAGAGCTCAGTGAACAAGCTAGCAAAACCTGGCAAATAATATTGTGATCATAAAATATGCTTAGTGAAGTTTTATATTATTTAATGGGATATCTGGTAAGTTTTAGGTTAGGTTTGGGAAAGGTTAAGTTAAAGTTTAGGCTAAGGACAGGTTAGGGTTAGTTTAGGGATATTTTCACGTTCGAGTTAGGCCAAAGGAAGATTAGGGTTAGAAGACCTAAATAATTACATGCTTAGAATAAATGTGATTAAATTACTCTATTGATACTCCAATCCAAAACTGAGAGATATTTTTGTCACACATCAGAGAAGGGTATTCTGTGCAACAGTTTCATGCCTGTTAATTCTTCATTATTTTCACGAATATGTGTATTTTATACGCGAAAATCGCCTTTATCATTTGACTGGCGCGTTCAAGGTCATTTGTCCGTTGGTACTTACTGATGCTTAAAGTTTAACTTCGCCCCAAGCCAATAGTAAATGCAGAGGATGTTACTGCCAATAAATTGACCAATCAGATATGCGAGTGAAACATTGAAACACTTTCTGTATACTCTTAAAAGTACATTGTATGAATACACTGTGGAATAGAAGATTTGACCACAAGCCTTGTATGTTGGTGGACATTTTTCTCCCCTCAACATTCCTTTACTTTGCGATGAGGAACATAAAACTTCAAGCATAACGGTTCGAAATTTTAGTAGCAGTGGCGCTTTACAGTAGAGTGCGGTTTCTAGCCTTATGCCCAGTCTTCTCTTTTCAATGGACTTGCTTACCGGTCCAGAGAGGTTTAAAAGTGCATCGTTGGGTATGATTCTACCAGTGAACCATCGGCACACAATATATCAGGTTGAGCTGTACTTAATGTGTGCGGATTAACGGTACTGTCTGGTTGTCCTGGCTGAAATAGTCATCGGAGTGTTATTCAAACTTGTGGCTTTCTGTCAGTCAGTCAAAATTTGGTAACTTTCTCGCCTGCTTCGCCGATCAGTTCTGCACACATATATGGTGCAGTAACTTTTGCAACGAAGCTATATTGAAAATTGATTGGATAATTTAATTGTTTCCAATCAAAACATGTTCATTGGTTTCATTATGCAAGTTGTTTGGTGGTCTCAACAATATGCTAACACAGGCCGCTTTCAATTATTTATTATTATTATTAAAACTCATACTTGGTGCTTTATGAGCACCAAAAGATGCGACATACAAAATCTCGTACTTTGTGAGACAGTTGAAATACTCTCCCAGTGCCTTTTATTTAGAGACTGCCCCTCCCGAGCCTTTGGCTTGAGGTCTCATTCATAAGGCAATGGAGTAGCGTCAGGTGCTGTCCGTCCCATGGTTGGCAAAGACCAAGACAAGTTTATACGCCATTCGATCCTTTCGCATCCTGGAGCCCAAGGTTTGGAATCAAGGTTTTCCAGCCACCCCTTCCACACACTAGGTAGACAATCGTGTCTACCAGTTCACTTGTAAGCACTGGACGTTCGTATTCGCCTTTTCACTTTTGTGAGGAAAGCTGCTGTCTTGTGAAAGCAGTCAATCCGATGTACTAGTGAAACACTGTACTTTATAGAAGCATTATTATTGTTATTGCCTTCTTTAGTTCCTAAAGGAACATAGGGCTTCAGCAGCACATCCAGTGCGTTCAGTTCTCTGCCAACGTTTTCATCACCTAGTTCTACATCTGTTCACATGCTTTCATCTCCTCTTCCACTCGAGCGATGGCCTGGCGTGTGATATCACTTGTATGCATACTATTGAATAGAAGATTAGGTTACAAAGTTTGTTTGTTGTTAGTACTAAGTTACCTACACCACTTTTCTGTCGCGTACCAAACGAAATTACACTTATCGTGTAAGAATGAATTGTCTAGACTGTAAGTTTGAAACTTGATACCTTTCTCATCTGCTTCGCCGATCAGTTCTGCACACTTACACGGTGCAGTAACTTTTGCAACGAAGCAACATTGAAAATTGATTAGATGATATGTTTCTTTCTAATCAAAATATATTTATTGGTTTCATTATGTAAGTTGTTTAATAGTCTCAATTGCTTGTCAACATGGGTCACTTCCATTTGGATGATCTTGACTGTCAGTGGAATCCAGTACTTGCATATTTTGAAAAGTTCTAATAGCTGCTATACTTATCCGACAACCGCTTGCATTTCCATGCACAAGTTGGCAATGAGCCAAGCCTATTGCGTTTGAGGACTAGTGATACTATCTGTCTACTCATGACTTGGTAGGTGGAGTGGGGTCCAAACTGCGTGATTCAGTAGAGTTAAAAGTCAAGAGCCTCTAGACCTGTAAGCCACAACTTCACTGGGTTTGTTGTGTTTCGGTGTACTGTTTGAAATTAATGATATGCATCCGAATAAAAAACCAATGCGACTCAGTTAACTGAAGAATCTACAATCCTAAAATTAGAAAATGAAGACATCGTACTTTTGAGGAAGACAGTAAGACAAACATATAAAACCTGAAGTCAACAAAGACAATCCCGCCAAATTGTCAAAGAAGGTGTTATATATGAGTGTAACGTTTGAAGGCGACTTTCTGGCCAATATTCTAAAGAAGAGAATATCAAACATCCTGAAAGGATGACTGACTGATTTCAACACAGAACTTTGCACAGATGTGCAGCAGTTCGAGTCGCCACACTTCACTTAGACCGGGCGTCTTACATAGCCTCTCCTGAGGAAGTCCTACCCACTGCCTTCACGTGGCGGAGGTGTTTTTCACCAAAGTGAGAGGGCGAAAGCGGATGCCCGGCGCTCTTCACTGGGTTGACTGTCCATTGGATGACAGTCTAGGGGAGATGGCTAAACCCTGATTCCAAACCTCCAACGACTGGCGTATGAAGCTCACTGGATCTCACCGGCAGACGTATGGATAAAGGGCTTGTTGGATGTCCTGGATGTCTGGCTCCATTCAAAAAGGCGTATGAACCGAACTCCGGTCACCGGCTGCCAATGGATAGTGGACTCCCTACTCCACTCCTACTGCCTTGTAGGTCACACTCGGTTGTGCAAAGGCTAGAGCTGCACTCTCAAACAAAAGTCCGAACGATTCTGGGGTCATCACTCGTACCAAATTCCCATGAAACTTCATGAACTCTCTTCATCAGATCGCCGCGCCTGGGCAGCGATGATTCGAGATGTTCATGAAGCCGGCTCATCCTCCCGTAGGAGATAGCCGAAGTAAAGTAAGTACACTTCACTTAGCACTCAAAGCAAGAGAAGAAAGTAAAAAGAAATGCAAAATAATGACAGTAAACAGAGATTTGGGGCAAGAAGAATAGTAATATTGAAGAACAATGTAGTTTTATTGGGTATTATAAGTCACAAGGAGTGGATGCACCTGCGCCAACCATTGAGATTAATTTTGAGCCATATCACCAATTGTCTCCAGCCTTCATTGGTTTTTACCGTCCCTAAGTCCCCAACCAGTCAGGAAGTCTACACCTTCCTACGTGACTTAAATTAACTGTTGTGGATTTCATTGACTGATGAAGCCATGTTTTGGTTTGACCACTACTTGAGGATGGGTATTCGCCTACCTCCCAGTGTCTTCCAATAATCCTAAAGATAAACTATAGCGTATCTGTCAACTCACTTGTTCCTGTGGAACGAGGTTTAAAAGGTTGTTCAATGCGTGTTTTTATCTAAAAGAGTCAAGCAGTACTATGCCGTTTCGCTGCGGAAAGGTCACAATAGATTAATTAGAGTGCTTTAACTCCACGTAATCTACAAAGTTAAGAAGAGCCTGATAAAAACAGTATGTTTCCGTATACTTTGAATTTTTAATGCCTTAGTCATTCAGGTGAATAATCTTAATGTATACACATAGAAGGAACTTTTCCATCCCCTCTTTCTAACTTGGATATAAATCTAGGCTTTTCGGTGTACCATTTTCTTAACTAACCCCGCATTCACTCCCTTTATCTACTACACAATTTATTTCGATACTTGTCTGCATGTTCTTTCATTAACACCGAATTTTTTCCGGACTTTTTCCCATATAACACAACCTTTAATCTAAACTTACTTCTTAACAGTTCAACTGTAAATTTCTATAAATTTTCCTCTACAATTAACAGATTGATATTCGACCTTTTGATGCGTTATCTGAGGAGGATAAACGTGCTATTCAAAGTATTGTCTATCGACCAGTTGACAATGGACAAGACAGTACAACAATAACAACAAGAGATCCAGAACGACCTTACTTTGTTGAAATGTCTACTGTTACAGAAGTTGGTCTGGTAGCTGTTCGTTCAGTTGCATGTGATGATTTGCTTGCACAACGTGTTCAAGCTAAAATTCGTGCAGCCACTCTTCCAGGCAGTAATGTGGATATCTCTAGTCGGTTGTATATTGCTAAACCGAAATCAGATGGGGATATGGTAAGTAAGGCAACAGGATGTTTACTGTGTGATTCAGTTTTATGTGTTCCTCATATCTTCAAGTATTGGTTTGTAGCGATTTGATTGGTTACAGGTTTAAGTCATCATTTAGGGAATTATTGGAAAACCAGCAGGGAGTACTGGACACTTGTTTCTTCCTGGTTTGGAACTCTTTATCAGTAAGCACCCACTGGCGTTCAGACCCCAGGACCTTCCGGGTGCAAGACGAGCTCGTTGACCATTGAGGTCCATGAATTCTAGCTTGTGTCAATTCGCTGTATATATAAGGAGCAAGCATCTGCTTTCATAGATTCCTAGTACTTTTGTATCAAGTCAGGTAAGAAGAAAATTAATCGCCGATGACGATGTCTGGCGGTTTCGCTATATATTGTGAATTAACTGAAATTGGGAATCATTGGCTACTGGATCAATTCCCTGTGACTGAATGATCTACAAGCTCATCTTGTAATAGGGAGATCCTAGGTTCGAACGCCGGTGGGTGCATACTGCTGAATTGTCTCAAACTAGGATGAAACAGCTGTCCGGCACTTCCTGGTTTTCCATTGATTCTTGATATCTGTTTGAAATGAGTTCGCGAAACAGTTCTTCCATTTCCCAGGCTATATGAGCCGCACACATGGTGTGAGGACCGAGTATACTGCTACGTAGAGTTGCCCAGGCTGAAGTATGTGGAGTGGCGGGATTCGAACCCCAGGAGCCACTGTCTGAAAGTCAAGTGATTAAGCCGACAGGTGGCCACAGCTCCCCTCTTTTTGTTTGATGTCACTACTTCCTAAATAACTAATCGTAATTGCGCTTTTCTCGGGACTGACTCAGACATCTGACTTCTAGTGAGTCTCCCGTCCTCCTGTTATACAGTTACCGAAGTTTAGATAGCCAGTTGTTGACATTAACTCTCTCACGTAGTAGGTCTGTAGTCGCACATAGTCGGAAAGTAGACTGAACAAAAAGAAATATACACTTGAACAATCATTTGTATTACAAATATTTACAACCCCTGGTTGACTAAGTTAGGAGATATATATATATATATATTCTGGAGGTAGTCTTTTCTAACCTCTCCTCCTCAAAGTGACAAGGCAACATAACTGGTTTATGCCTTATTCGAGCGAGACACCTTACGTACTGTTACGTCACATTCTACCCTAAGATTTACATCACAGTGTAGATAACTTGTAATGTAACAGCTTTTAACCCTATGCCTATCCAACTGACATTATACTAGCATATTAAGTGTTCCAGCACCAGTCTTTCAGCGAGTGTAGCTCATGCCAGTATAATATGCAGGTTGAGTCATCACATCCGGATAGCATTTGTTGGTCGGGTGTTCAAGACACCATTATGTACATTTTTCCCATGGCATTTTCTTTGGTTTTTCTGCTCTTGAAGAAGTATTTTTTTCAAGATCAGGTGGGAAAAAGGGTGTGATAGATGATCGCAAAGGGTAAATACATCTACACTGCGGCACTGAGAACAACTCTGAGCCATATTTCCAATAGTCTCCAGCCAGTGGTTCTTAGCATCAGATATAGGGTAAGTTGCTTACACTATGTTGAATGTAGGGGGGGCTGTTCTGTGGACAAAGTCGTACCTCTGGGGAACAGGAATGTGACATCAGTAGGGTGTTTCCCTCAGATGACCAGCATGCCAGCTACGCTGCCTCCTCGCTCTGGAGACGGCGGGGGCGGGGGTTAGGAAATAGTCGACCCTGAAAATTGTACGTTCTAACTCACTGGCGATGAGATCATAATACAAACACGACTCTATTAATAAATTCAAACAGGCTCTGTGTGTCCGGTCTCAAGCAGTTGTCCACTGGGTGTGTGGTCACTTCGTAATTTCGTTAATTATTGCTATATTTTAATTGGACACTAGGGTAGTAACTAATATGATGTGTCTAGTCCTTCGTTTGGTACAGACTGGATTCTATCAGTCGTCAAGTTTCCTGGTGTAGGTGGTTCGTCATCACGGTGCACTCTGATTTGTTGTGTTACTAGATGGTTGGAGTTAGTCGCTAATGAGCTTTGAGCCTATGTGTCGTGCTGGTTGGCACACACACACACACCAGTCAGCAAGGCGTACCTGCAGCGTTAAAGGAACTCATGTCCCTTCTAGGATTGTGTTGCTAAGAAAAGAAAAGAAACACAGGTGAAGGTTTCAACATGTATTTAGTGACAATAGGAAGTCAGATAAGAAATCATTGAAAACCAGGGAGTCCTAGACATGTGTTTCATCTCACAACATTGTAGCATTGCATAAACACATGCACACACACACCCGTAGCCTCACCACGTATACACTACATCACTCACCTTTAGTTGCCAGAAGCAGTCATGCTAAGTTGAAATACGATAACACATGTCTTTGCATGATTTCTACTGCTCGACATTGTCATCGGCGAACATCCCACGCACACTCGACAACATCGACATCACCAATCACAATTCACCTGATATCCTATCCGGTCACATGTAAGTGTAAGAGACTTATCTTCAGATGCATAGTGCCTGAAATCTGCAATGCTGATTGATCCATGACTTTCAACGACTCCTGTAACTGATATCCATCCCTTCATCGAGATGTCTTATCTTCAATGAAATCCATCCATGTTGGAAAAGGGAATTCTGATGGCAATCTCATATGCAAAGATAATGCAAAGGTTGGGCATCACTCCCTCCACCCAGACTGTTGCTAGTGTCAGTTTGTGAAGATTTACTCAACACACACACACATGGCTCCCAGTTATTGACTACGTTTGTCAATTCATCATTTCACTTCATGTTACACATAGAAAGGAGCATGTCTAATCATCGAAAGTAGGATTGTGAACACTAATATTGTGCTGGTGTGATACAGACAACAATGGCTTCCAACGGAATATTATTCTCACAGTGAGAATCATTGTATTTCTTGCTGGATGTTAACGTCTGAACACTATTCGCACAGTTCAATACTTCATTAGCAACACAATCTAAGACTTGAACCCGCGCCACACAGTGCTGACTGAAGTCAGAGACGTTACCACTGAGCTATTCGGGCTCGAGATTGACCTCTTGTAGGACTGTGATTTTAATTCGTCTGCCATTGTTTACTCGTAAAATAAACCTGCCCTATTTCCTCTAAATCCAACTATTTCTATTAATTTTTTTATATTGATGTAGACTGAAGTCACCAGTCGTCCTGCTATCATTCCTGACGGTGTCTTAGCTAAACAACGAACGCGTATATTGAAACGTCTCCATGCCTCAGCTGCACTACGACCCGACCTGATACCAACAGAAGAAGAGACTGACCCATCGAAACGTCGTAAAACAATGCGTGATCGTGAGTTGGAAGCTGATCCAGATGAAGGCTTCATTTTGAATCTCAGGGAACACTGGAAGATAGCTAATCCTGACGAGGCGAATGATGTGATTCCTGAGATCTACAATGGACACAATCTTATCGATTTATTCGATCCTGAGATTGAAGAGAAGTTGAATGCTTTGGAGGAGCAAGAGGCTGCATTCGAAGCGGCTGGATTATACGATGAATCAGAATGGCGTAAAGATGAAAATGATCCAGAAATGAAGAAGATCAGAGTCACTGCAGCAAAGTAAGTTGGTTATTCTTTTATTGATTTTTCTTATTATATTAATACTTTTCTTCTGTTTTAAGCTGAGAAAAGTCCCGAAGGTATACATATATACCTTGCATAGGTTTATTTGAAACGGTATGCATAACTGGATGACATCTTGACAGGCATAATGCAATGGCCAGGCTTTTCTCCAGATTATTTAGCCTAACAGGATGAATCGCTTGAGATCATTGCATGGTATTTGGTCATTTATTTTATTTTTCTTGATTGGATCTATATTGGGTCCTTAAACCGATAAAAGTTATCTCTGAGAGAGACGTAGTCAGAGACAGACCTTGGAAAATGTAGTCACACGACTTCATAATTTGCTTTATAGAGCTTTACTTCCTCTTGTTTTCTCTTTTTTCTAAATTTAACTTTCAATATCATACGCTTGTGCACGTCAAATAAAATACTAAGTCACATCATCATAGAGAGAATGAAAGATGCACTGGATACAGAACTCCGCCAGGCCGGAGCAAGCTGGATTCAGGAAAGATAAATTATGTGCTGATCAAATTGCAGCTCTAGGCATTGTCATCACAGAACAAAGCATAGAATGGCAGTCAAAACTCTACCTCAACTTCATCGACTTCAAAAGGACCTTGGACAGACAGCAATGACCAAAAAGCAATTTGGAAACTTCTTCAACACTACGGCGTGCAGTGCCTCAAGTTTTTATCACTCCACCGAAAACTTACTATTCTCACCCCTCCTTTTGTTAAAATAATCTTAAACAATTACATTTTTAATAGGTGGATGGTGACTAGCAGTGGAATTCAGGATGCACATTTCGTCCTATTTGGGGCACGTCAGCTAGATGTACCTGTTCCCACCGAGGCTCGAACCCAGTGCCAATAGTCTCAAATCCCAAAGCATTATCCACCAGACCACTTGGGCCACGAGAGCCACCTCTTGTGCAACGGGTCATATTAATTATTTAATTGAATTTTAGATTTTTTCCTGTCGATTGATTGGACCGAAGTGCTAGTCACCATACACCAATTAAATTCTGATGACATGCCCAGACATCGTCAAAGCATCTGCACAAGAGGCCGACATGTCAACCTAAGACCGTGCACTTCGGTCCAGTCAATCGACGGGAAAATCTAAAATTCAATTCAATTATATTTTTGTTTGACAAACTTAATCTACACATGCATACAAAATAACCCATACATATTTACGATTGTACAGCTAGGAAAATGAATTCACCGGTGAAAAGAGACTCTTGGCTGAACTGGGTGTTTTGTTTTCATTAAATCTCTATCTCTTGGCCATTTGGTATTATTATGCCGATGAAAGTCTCTTTATTTACACACTACTGATAAATCTTATCAGTAGAATAGCACATGTCACAACACACAATGCCCAAGTTCGACATTTACATTAAAATTATGAAATTCTTAATTCTGGCTTCATTTTGAATTATATCACCACCAAAAATACAAATAAATGCGTCTGTCATATTGCTATGGTGTACTGAAATGTCAAAAACTTTAAAATGACTCTTTTTTGTGCTTCATCGATCAGTTCTGTGTACTTGTATAAGTCCAGTAACTTTTGCAATGAAGCTAAATCAATATATTGATTAGTTGATGACAGTTCACATCTAATCAACACACTTCACGACCAGTTATATCTATTACCTAAGGAGGGGGAATCAATAGACGAGGCTGTGAAGTCACATCGACTGAGATAGTTAGGACATGTGTCACGTACGCCTAGCCATCGCCTTCCTCGACGGGCAATGTTATCCGCTGACATAGAATGGATCCGGTTGGAGAAGAGCTAGCACATGGTGATCAAAACAAAACATGGCTTGATAAGCCAGTGAAATCCACAGTAGTTAGTTTAAGCCAGTCACAGTGGTTAGGACTCTCGCCGACCATGCACATGGTCCGGGGTTCGATCCCCTGCCGATGCACACCCGATATCTATGGTCGGCCTGCAAAATTTGGGCTACCGATATCCATGCTGAAAATTCCATACTTGTACTGAAAATACGGTGTGGCGTCAAGGTGTAATAAAGAAAAAGTAGGAAGGTGCAGACTTCGTGGTTGGGGTCCTCGGGACGGTAAAAAGAAATGAAGGCTGGAGACAATTGATGATATGGGTCGAAATAGTTCTCAATGAATAGAGCAGATGCATCCAGTCCCTGAAACTTATCATATCCAATAAAACTATATTGTTCTTCGATATTACCATTCTTTTTGCCTCATATATCTGTTTACTGCCACTATTTTGCATTTCTTTTTACTTTCTTTTCTTGCTTTGAGTGCTAAGTGAAGTGTGGCGACGCGAACTGCTGCACATCTGTGCAAAGTTCTACGTTGAAACCTGTCACTCAGTTAGTCATTATCTAATGCATGAATAATCCTCATCCAGAGATTAATGAAAACAAAACACGTAGTTCAGAGAGAAATCTCTTTTCGGTAGTGAATTCATTCACTTAGCTGAAAAATCGTAATTATATAAACTTACTTTTGCACGTATCTATGTACATTAGGTTTGTCCAAAAAAACCAAAAGTAAGTTAGGGTTATTGCTGTCAAGACATTTCAAAAATGTATATTTCAATATATGTATATATATATATATAGGTGATGTCATTTCTTGTTATTCTAAGAGTGTAAATCACTGTTTACAATACTCAAGGAGATGCGGCTTATTGACTAGAGTACTCGGTTTTAAGCTTGGACAGCTTTAAGTAGTATGAATGACCGTCAGGTGACGCGTATGGCTCGTATTCTTGGTACTTGAAAGGTCTGTTTCAAGTATCATACCTTTACCGCTCTATGGTCGTGATGTTAACATTCACCCAAGTTAAGTTGAGCTATACTCAATCATGTCAGTTATGTGACGTCACTTCTCAATTTACGTACTTCATTTGATTTAAATTTCTAGCCAATCAATGCTTTCTTTGCTATGTAATTGTTATCTAGAATCCCACAGTTTTAATGACACATCTTTAGGAACATTAATTTTGTTACTATGAAAATTTATTACATGTGTTTGTACAGTTTAAGAATGATATCACTGGAAAGAGTAACTCTTCGCTGAACGCCTGAATGGGATATAGACACTGGCCCGCCGTCTGTAAGTGAAGTCACAAAAGCTATCTGTAATCTGAAACAAGGCAAAGCGGCAGGGCCCGACGGAGTTATTCCGGAGGTGTTTAAATATGGGGGTGACATACTAGTATATAGTTTAACTAAGGTACTAGGTAACGTCTGGGAATCAGAGACGGTTCCATCAGATTGGGGTAAGTCACTTATTATACCAATATTCAAGAAGAGAGACAAGTCCTCATGTGATAATCATAGAGGAATCAGCCTGACGAACATAGTCTCTAAAATCCTAGGCTCAGTAATCATGCACAGCCTAAGCCAAACTAGGGAGGAACAAACGAGGAAAAATCAAGCGAGCTTTAGGCCAGGTAGAGGGTGCATAGATCATATCTTCACTCTCCGACAGATCCTAGAACATAGACACACTTTTAGGCGTCCAACAATTGCCATATTTCTTGACTTGAAGGCGGTCTTCGACTCCGTGGATCGAGAGGTTCTATGGCAATGTTTGACTGTGAAGGGAGTGCCAAGAAAGTACATTGCACTAATCAAGGCACTCTACTCGAACTCACGTAGCCGTTTAAGGGCTTATGGGGAATTGTCATCTGAATTGATAACAACCAGTGGTGTCCGTCAAGGATGTCCACTTTCCCCTTTTCTGTTTAACTTCATCATAGATATGCTAATGGAAGTATCCTTAACTGAACTTAACGATTTAGGAATCAACTTGTTACCAGGGAATAGTCTTATGGACTTAGAATATGCAGATGACATAGTCCTGTTAGGGGAGGATGCTGACAAATTGCAGAGTCTTCTGAACACCTTCAGCAGCAATCTTCGTATGTTTGGCATGCGATTCGCCCCTGTAAAATGTAAGATGCTGCTACAGGACTGGACTACGTCAACTCCTAGCTTAGTGATAGGGAGTGAAGTGATAGAACATGTTGACCACTTCACCTATTTGGGAAGTTGTATCAGCAGCAACGGATTGATTGGTGACGAAATCTCAGCACGGATCCGAAAAGCTCGGGCTGCTTTCGCTAACTTACACCGTCTTTGGCGTAGACATGACATCCGGCTATCAACCAAGGGACGTGTGTACTGCTCAGCTGATCACTCCGTCCTTCTCTATGGCTCTGAAACATGGCCAATACGAGTTGAAGACATGAAAAGGTTGTCTGTTTTTGATCACAGATGTTTACGATCTCTTTCTCACGTTAGGTGGCATAATAAGGCAAGTAATGTTGACATCAGGCGTAGAGTGTTGGGCAAAGAGGGAAAATCAATCGAAGAGGCTATAAAGTTGCATAGATTGAGATGCTAGGTCACGTGCTGCGCATGCCTAGGCCTAGCCATCGCCTCCCCCGACGGGCATTACTAGCTGATATAGGTGCAGGTTGGAAAAGAGTAAGTGGTGGACAAACAAAAACATGGCCTCATCTATCCATGAAATCCTTGACAGTTAAATTGAGTCAGGTAGGGAGATGCAGACTTCAGGGTTGGGACCCGCCCTCGGGACTCTAAGAATCAATGGCTGGAGACAATATGTGACATAGCTAAAAATCGTTGTCAATGGCGCAGATGTATTCAGTCTCTGTAATCTTTCATATTCCTTTCTACCATTGCTCATTCTGTTTCACTCTTATACTTGTCAAAACTCTATTGATTCTCTTCAGTCATTTTCTTGTCTACCTTTGTGTGCTATTTGGAACGTGACAACTCGAACAGCTGCACCTCGGTGCCCGAGTTCTATGTTGAATCCAGACAGACAGACAGAACGCCTTTTGTTTAGTTTTTGAAATTTCATCAGTGTGAGCATTAAATTGTTTCACCTTGAGATGAGCTTTTAAATTAGTCTTCTCTCCTGGTGACTTTGAACGTGATTTGGTTGTTTTTGTGTTTTCACACGTAGGATACTTGTATTGATATTGGTGTTGATTGTTTCCTTGACCTGAAGTTTGACCCTTTGTGTACTGTGAGATTTCTTTCTCATCGATTGGTAAATTTTGTCTATGTCAATGTGTCTATTGATTGATGATTCACTGGAATACCAGTCTTCTAAAAATTCTCTAGCATTTTTGGTGTTTCCTCTGTCTAATATTTGAACGCTGGTTGTCCCAGTCGAACTGATTTTCGTGGTTGCCGTATGTAGTGATATGAGGGAAAGGATGTCATGTCCTTTGACGGGTAGTCTATGTTGATGGATACAAAGACAAACGGGACGTCTGCTTTGGCCAATGCAGTGTTTTTCGCAATTTGTTTTGCAGATTGTATTGGTTTGTGTGCGACGTCAATTCCTAAAGGTTTGAAGAGTCTTATGGTGATTTCTGAGATGTCCTTTATATATGGTAGGGCGATTATCTTTGTGTCTTCCTTGGGGGCCTTTGATTTGATAGGTTGGTTTGGGCGTATATATCTTTTGATGAAATTCCGTGGATATCCATTCTTTTGGAAGACGTCCACGTTCTTTCTTATCGATTGGTAGATTTTGTCTATGTAAATGTGTCTATTAATACCAGGCTTCTAAAAATTTTCTGGCATCAAAAGTCCCCAAGGAAAGCACAAACAAAATCGCCCTACCATATTTAAAAGACATCTCAGAAATCACTGCGAGTTTCTTCAAACCTTGAGAAATTGATGTCGTACACAAACCAACAAAACCACTTTACTCAGCCAAAAGACACATCAGCGAAAGAGGACAAAGTCAACATTATCTACAAGATAAGTTGCAATGATGGCGAAAAACACTACATTGACCAAAGTGGACGTCCTCTTCTTCTACGTATCCATGAATATTAACTAGCAGTCAAAGGACATGACATCCTTTCCCTCATATCACTACATACGGACAACCATGGACATCAGTTCGACTGAGACAACGTTCACATATTAGTCAGAGAAAACACCAAGAATGCTAGAGAACTTTTAGAAGACTGGTATCCCAGTGAATCGTCAGTCAATAGACACATCGAGATAGACAACATTTACCAATCGATAAGAAAGAAATCTCACAGTACACAAAGGGTCAACCTTCAGGTCAAGGAAACAATCAGCTCCAATACAAGTAGCCTAGAAGGTTTGAAAACACAAAGACAACCAAAGCACGTTCAAGGTGGTCACCAGGAGAGATGACTAATATACTTGTGGATAAATCTTAAATCTCACTTCAAATTGAAGTATGCGTTGTAGATGTTGCCTAGTCACGTAATGAAAGCTTCGCAAATAAACCATCCAGCTCAGAGAACACAACTACACCAAAATGTTTCATCATTTTAAACTGACGTAATGTTGTTACTGTGAGCATGTATACATATATAATTGTTGTGTAGTGCCCATTTGTTATTGTTATTCTCTCTATCTCTCTCTCTTTAGGATAAGAGAAGCACGAGCTTTGCGTGTTCTGGAGTCTCGTGCTCGTAAACAAGTCCGACGACCACAAGTACCGCGTAGTGCACGTTCAGTTAGTGTGAATAAAATTCACAAAGATCTTGGTGAACTTGGTCTTGAAGTGGATATGGAAGAAGAGGTGAGTCACATTAGAGTATTCTGTTGTCTCTTTCTCTTCTGAATAATGAAAAATGTACCGATCTGTCCTCAGGTCGTCTTGTCGGTTATCTTGAAGCTTGTCCAGCATAACTTTGATTTCTTCCATTATGGGTAAATTTTGTTTTGATAAAGTCTCACAGTGTTATACAGTAATGTTTACTGATGACGTTTCGAGCACAATTTATTGCTCATAATCACATCAAGGTAATCACACGACTTCCTAAATTCATTTATATAGTTCCAATAAATATATAGTACCAATAAATATGGCCTTGGAAGCAGTTAAAAAAGAATTAACTGCAGACCCTTAACTCACTTATAGGACGAAACTACCTACTGAAGAAATTATTTTAGGAATTCAGTTGTGCCTCACATCTACTATCTTTAAATTCCAAGGCAAAATATATAGACAAACTGAAGGTGTAGCAATGGGATCACCAATATCCCCTATCGTAGCAGATATATTTATGGATAGCTGGGAAAATATGGCACTTAATACGTTTAATCCTACTCCAAAAATATGATGGAGATATGTGGATGACACTTTCACAGTGTTAAAAACAGAATATATCTCTAGCTTCTTAACACATATAAACTCACTAGTGGATGGAATAAAATTCACATTTGAAGCCGAAAATGAACAAGGAGAATTAGCTATGTTAGATTGTAAAATAAAACGAATAGAAGAAGGCAAACTACACATTAGTGTTTATAGAAAACCAACGCATTTTCATAGATATTTAGACTTTAATTCATCTCATCCTTTAACTGTTAAGGCAGGCTTAGTTAAGTGTTTAACAAACCGAGCAATGGCACTAAGTAGCACAAAAAAAGACCTGAATGATGAAATAAAACAGATAAAAGAGGCGTTGGTGTTAAATGACTATATCCTTTTAAATTCATTAGGAAGATTTAAAAAGGCCAAAAGAAAAAGAATTGTGAAACTAGTAATAATAACATAAATAAGAGAGAATACAATTCATCTACAGTTATACCATATAAGGAGGGGACATCTGAGACCCTACGTAGGATTCTAAATAAAGCGGGAATTAGGGTGGCATTTAAACCTACAAACTCACTCAGGGACAAGCTCTGTAGGTTACAGGACCCAGTGGAACCAATTAGACAAAATAATATAATTTACAAAATACCCTGCAATGACTGTGAAGTCAATTACATAGGTCGGACTAGTAGGTCAGGGGTAGTCAGATTGTCAGAACATAAGAATTTAGCTAAGGTAAGAATGGTTGACCCAGAGGAGATAAGTAATTTAGAAAAAAGCTCGGCAATTGCAATGCATGCATTAACACACAACCACACAATAGGGTGGGAGAGGGTTAAAATTCTAAAAAGTAATCTAGGTAGGTGGAAAGAGAGGTTGATTACTGAATCTTTGTTCATCGAATCTACACCCAACACATGCAATAGGAATGAATCATCACTCATACCTGAAATATGGAAAATAATACTACCAATCAAATCAAGTGAAAAACAATGGAACTATATAAATGAATTTAGGAAGTCGTGTGATTAACTTGATATGATTATGAGCAATAAATTGTGCTCGAAACGTCATCAGTAAATATTACTGTATAACACTGTGAGACTTTATCAAAACAAAATTTACCCATAATGGAATTACACTCTACCACAGTGCACAAGTTTTATTCTCATATCAATAACTTTGATTTCTTCATAGCCTATTTATTAGAAAGTAGTATTATATGTATCCTTTTCATGACGAAGGCGAACTATGGTAGCTACCTCAAGTGATATTTATAATGACTTCGAACAGCCAATCAGAAGGGACGATAAAAGTAGCAAATTTATTAAAACAGAATGTATTTAAAAACACTACAAACACAACTTCACGTGAGACAGTCATCTACCACGTGTAGTGAGAAAGCTTCCCCTGTTTTCCATTGGATGATTTATGGAGAAATCGAACCAGACCTGATACATGTACACTCATACAGATGAGGTCCATTTATATTTCCGATTGGATTCTTCAACCTATCTCAAAATCCTTCAATAGAGTTACTGTGAATGCCTGTTATTGGATCGGAGAAAATCGGAGGATTGGTTAACTTGGTAGTGTGAATACTAACCAAAGATGACAGTTAGTTGAATCTGGTCCCTGAATAATTGGTTTAAGCGTAGTTGTGCTCCTGTTTGGTATGGTTTTCACAGTACTTCCACTCAAAGAAATGTCATAGTTCGAAAACTCCTATACCTTGATTCGCTCTCCTTGTTCTTCAGTTGTACATCCTTCTTTTATTACCGCAGTTTCATCGTTGTGAACAACAACTTTTTTCCTTCACGTTCCCCAGTGGAACATAGGGCTTCAAGCTAGTGGCTTGAAGTTTCTGTAGCAGTTTGTATTTTACAGGATGGGGTTGCTAGCCTTATGCCCAACGTTTCCTCTTTACCAGGATTATTTCTGGCTTAGCGAGGTAAAGGAGTGCGTCGGCTGGGGATCGAACCTCGGACCGACGACGGGTCGGCGAGCTTCCTAACCGCTATGCTACCGACGCAAACAACAACTTTTACTTCTCCTAAATGACCACTTATCCCTTCTAGCTTCTGAGGTGTTCTGCATAAAAATGGAAGGGTGAATGTAAATGTACGAGGTTTAACAGTCGCACTGGTGGTCATGCAGGTATACTTAGATGAACTGCGGAACTCTGATTCCAAATGTACAGTGTTCATAGGCTGCAAAATCCAAAAGGATTGCATGTCATGTGATGAACCTATTCAGTCATTAGAAAGCATGGCCATGCAGTGCTTAATGCCCCCTCACTCTAAGCGGTCCTTCGAAGTCAAGCTGGATCGACCTACCGGAGTGGCAGTTGTAGTTAAACTTTGCTCGTTCTCATTTCACTTGTATGCCATTCCATTGAATTACATAGTACAGGTATACCATACAGTGGTGTAGACGTGATATCTGGCAGCAGTTCACGCTGCTCTCCTCCATAGCTTTAACACATAGTTATTGAAAGTAGAAGATACGAAAAGACTAGCTGTCTATCTCCTGCGTTAAGTAGTGTAATACGTGGAGTGAAGAATGTTAGGCAAGGAATGGAAAGCGGTCGATGAGGTTGTTAACCTAGGACATGTGTTGCACATTCCGAGCTGTCGCCTTGCTGGACGACCATTGTTAGCCGACATCGGATTAAGCTGGAAAATAGTTACTCCATTACAGTTGGTCTAAGCCAGATATGAGGACGTCGAAATGCTGAGAACCAATGGTTGGGGCCTGTTGGTGATATGACTGTAAATTAGTGTCAGTGTCGCAGATGCATTCTGATTGACTGACTGGTTTCAACGTAGAACTTTGCACAGATGTGCAGCAGTTCCCGTTGCCATACTCCCTCCATGTAGCACACAAAGCGAAGAGAGTAAAGGGAGGTTCAAAAGACAGATAATAAACAGAAGTGTAGGGCTAAAAAGAATAGTGATACGGGAGAGCAGTAGAGTTTTATTGGTCATGATAAATCACAAGGAGTGGATGCACCCATATCACCAATTGTCTCCAGCCTTCATTGTTTTTTACCGTCCTGAGGACCCCAACCAGGAAGTCTGCACCTTCCTACGTGGCTTAAACTATTATGGATTCCATTGACTGATGAAACCAGCCATTTTTTTCTAACTTGATCATATGTCGGCTAACATTACCCGCCAAGGAACGCGATGGCTAGGCAGGCATGTGTAATACACGTCCTAACCATCGCAATCGGTGTAACTTCACAATCTCTTCGAGGCAGTCAGTCTTTTTAATCATCCAGGTTCATGAAATAGTCATTTTTCTCTATGTTACTATGCTGTGTGCCTCATTCTACTACTTTTAAATCTATTTATTCCAACCTTTGCGTGTTACATTGAAGTATGATAACTAAGCTACTATGTTAGCACACGGTTAGTGACGTTCAGCATACAAATGACTACCTATATAATCTTATCCAATATCGATCCGATTAATATAGCTTTCCCTTTTTCTCCTCTCTCTTCTCTTCTTATTCCTCAGGGTGAACGTGGTCGATCAAGAAAGAAGGCAGCTAGAATCCGTAATGCTACACCAAATAAACATCGTGAAGCATCGATTGCACGTGCTTCTGTGGCAAGATCAACATCTGGTTTACGCGATGCAAAAATGCATGAAACTGTTAAACGTATGTCCAAGTTAGCTCAACGTAAGACAGTGACTTTGGCACGCAAAGGTGAAGGTGATCGTCATATACCAACCTTAAAACCGAAACATTTATTCTCTGGGAAACGAGGCAGTGGAAAACTGGATCGTCGTTAGTATCTAACGCCAAGGCTTTCGGGTACTTTTTTTCTCTCTTACTGATCAATCGCCACCACCAACACCACCACGCATCAGATGAAAAATTATCACCATCATAGAACATATTTTTGACTGACAAAAAAAAATAAATAATAAAATTAATAATATTGACTGAATTTGGAAATATAAAACAAAATGAAAAAAGGGAAGAAAATTATGTAAAAGGAAATGAATTTTTTCGAATAAGAATTTAAATGTTCATGGAATCTGAAGGTTTTTAAAGGATATTTCATCTAAAAGTTTTTTATACTGATGAATTTTTCCACTGCGAGTTGCTGACCATACAGATAATTCTCCGGATGCTTGATATACCATTGAAAGTCCACCTATAGGTTCACAATTGACACCAGTCAATTCGAGACTAATTGGGATTGATGATGGTGATGATGATGAGTCATCTTGTCCTACAGCTGGATTATACGGGTATACAAGAGTACGTCCATCACTTCGTGAGACAATAACTAGTAGATATTGACAATTAGGTCGTCTACAGACACGAATATGCTGAACTGCACCTTTCTCGTCTGTGTTGTACATAATGAATAAAAAAAGATGAAAAAAGAATTAATTATTTTGACAATTATGAATACTTATCATGTATCATGGTTTACAGGGATTTGATCGGTCACAGGTTTGATAGGGAACCAATTGAAAAACGCACCCACTGGAGTTAGAAACCAGGACCTTCTGGTTGCAAGATGAGCTCGTTAACCACTCGGTCACTGGTATGAAATCCAACCTTCTGCCAATTTGCGATATATAGTGCAACTATCTGCTTTCCCAAATTTCTAATACTTTTATACAAAGGTGTCGGCTAAAAGAACAGTAACTCCCCGATGACATTGGCTAGCAGTCGCGATATATATATCTCAGGTTGACAGAACCCATTAGATCGGGTCCCAGTGGCTGAATGGTGTACGCGCTTGCCTTGTATCCGGAAGGCCCGAAGTTCGAACCACAGTGGGCGTGTACCGATGAAGAGTTCCGAGGGAGGACAAAACAGCTATTCAGTAACTTCTTGGTATCTGTTTGAAATGAGTCCACTTTACTTCAAGTTTGGAACTTTTCAGCAGCAGTATCGCACTCACTGAGGCTTGAAACCAGAACCTTTCGAGTTACAAAGCGAGTTCATAGAACATTCAACCACTGGGACTCTATCCAGTGGCCCATATATTATTACCGTCGCTTTGCGATGTATATTTAGCGCAACAGCCAGTCGATGTTGTAGGCGAGTATCCTCCCTCCTCAAACTGAACTTGGTAGACCCCGCTGATCACAACTTGCCACTAGAATGTCATCTGCTACTAACTCGTCTTGTAGACAAGTTCTCGGTCGGGGTGTGCACTGTGAAGAGTTCCAAACTAGTCCAATACTCCCTGATCCTGTCAATTCATGTGTATCTCAGAGCAACGCGAGAAATAGGCACCTTTGCAGGATAATATGAATTCATTTTATCATTTCACAGGCTTTTCATTAGCTGCATACTATAAACGGAATAATAATAATAATGAATGCGTGAAACAATGAGTTAAAGAGAACAGCCAGATTAGCGTTTATTAGACAAGAGGTACGATAAGTTAATACTTGTTCCTTTGTGTTCCGATTAGCACACAGGGGGCTTTGATCTTGAACTCTAAATTCTCAGTACCAATGTGTTTTTGTTTCACAAGATGCCTGCCTCACATCCAACCTTCCCTCCTTACCGAGCTTAGGATTGCGTCGGGGGGGGGGGGAATTGAACCATGGGTCATGCGAGTGGTCGGTGAGTATTCTACCAGTGAACCACAATGAAACGCCTACGAGGAGTTAAAATAATCATCTGTAACCGAAATAGAAGAGAGAATGTTTTGGAATTTAAGGATAATTCCTTCACGCATAACAGGGTGGAGTGTGGAGACAGCTACACATCCTAGTCACCTACAAAGTTATTCAACTGAAATGAAAAATCTCTGAGGTATTTAAGAGAATTCGTAGGAAAACACCGAAGAATCTGCAATTATTGAGTTATAGCATAAAGATGGAATGCAACTTTGACAAGTTAGTGCTTACCAATAAGTTAGTAACAGTCTACGGAAGCGTTGGTGGTTAAGCGGTAGAATATTCGCTGACCACGCCTCAGCCGATGCACTCCTAAACCTCGCACTTAGCCTCGGTAGGAAATCTGGTTAAGAGGTAAGGTTAGGCTAGGTGTCAGACTAGCCATCCCCCCCCTTCAGAGTCGTAAAGTACTTTGTCTGTTCACTATCTTAAAAGATTCTACGACTTTGATTTGGTGTCTTATATTGTAACAACAGAAGACAAGGGCCAGGCAACAGATTGTTTACTGAGAAAATCAAGCGAAATTTTAATAGATTTTTATGTACATTATTATTAGCGTTATTGTTAGCAGAGAGGTAACGTCTTCTGATTGGTTTTTTTCCTGCTGAAGGTTATTCTGTCATGTCTTTGTTGCCGTTTCTTAGACAGTCCGTTGATATGCGATGACTGACCAAGAAAGATCAGAGGATAGAACTATTCCAAGGTATTTTATGCCTGACTTAATGTCTATTTCAGTGTCCTCCATCGTACAAACATCATGTGTGTAGGTCACGTCGTTTATGCCTGAAGGTGAAGTTAACTGTTCGACATTTGGAGGGATTTAACACAAAAAGCTATTCAGTTTGAAACAGTCAGATGGGGGATGAAACTGGCAACAAGACAGTCAAATCACCAGAGGTAATTCGTGTTAGAAGAAGAGAACAGAGAATATTATTTTTGCACTTGAAAATAGGATGATAAAACTTACGCGTAAGTAACCATAACGGCTGTCTAGTCTGTCGTATATCCCAAGATGCTAATTCACCATGTTGACTACCAGCGAATAGGCCATAATCCATAAAGGTTGAAACACAACTTTTAGGCACATCAATCAATTGTAGTCTTTTCGACATGGAAGCAGGCATCTCTTCAGGGAAAGCACATGATTCTACAGAACCATTAGCACTTGGAAGGGTACACTGGACAACACAGCCTTTTTGACGATTAGCTAATTCATATAAGCGAACAGAGGCATTCGTTCCTGTCCCAACAGCAATCAATGCATCTGATGTAGAAACTTCTTGTGCTATTGTTGAAGATGTCTCTCGAACTGTGACAAGCAAAAAGAGAAAAGAAGGTGGTAAGCAGTGGTGTAAGTCAGTTATTAACTGAGAAATGAATACAGAATATATTTTCGTTTGTAGTTTCGTGTTTACTGACATGCCTCAGAGAAGCCTATCGGCAAGCTAGGAGGAACAACACTCATGAGATTCAAACCAGTGTGCGAAGAACAAGAAGTTCAGAAAACAGGCGTACAATCGCACTTATATTGCATACGTTTACAGAGATACTATTATTATTTAATTCCACATAGTACCAAAGGTGATAATAATTTTCAACTTGATATGAAAGTTTGAAGGTGTGAATACAAATTACAAGTGGTTAACAAACAAAATTACAAATGAATAGAAGATAGTTGTGTAATATGTAAAATAGTTTTTTTAAAGACTTCACCCAGAACAAGCTGAATTCAGGAAAGGCAAATCATGTGAGGATCAAATTACAACTCTACGCATCGTCATCACAGAACGAAGCATGGGAATGGCAGTTGAACCTCTACCTCAACCTCCGTCATCGACTTCGAAAAGGCCTTCGGCAGACAGCGATGACCGAGAAGTAATTTGGAAACTTCTTCAACACTACGGCGTGCAGTGCATCAAGTCTTTATCAACCTCATGCAGCAGTTGGCTATATGACAATGCCACGTATCAGGTGATCCACAACGGAAAACTCAGCGAGGCGTTCGAAGTGAATACAGGAATAAGAAAAGGCTGTCTGCCTATCATCACCGATGATATTCCTAATTCTGGTGGACTGGATTATGCGTCGCACTGTACAACGGGAGCGAGGAGACAGGAATACGCTGCACTGACAAATAAGAAGACTCTAGAAAGACCTGGATTTCGCAAATGATATATGTCTAATGTCATACAAACGCGAGGACACACAGGTGAAAAGCAACAAAACTGGCAGAAGAAGCACCAGCAAAGACAGGATTTCAAGTAAACATAGAGAAGATGGGGGTGATGAAGATAACCAACCAACAACAACAACCAGCACCAATCACCATCAACAGGAGAGATTTGTCAGAAGTTAATTCCTTCACTTATCTAGGCAGCGAGCATCGTTTCAACCACAGGCGGTGGTACGGATGAAGATGTCAAAGCAAGCAAGAATCAGAAAGGCAAGACAGATCATTATCACTCCGAAATCAGTTTCGAAATTGGCTGCACTCAGTCAGCATAAAGAACAAGATTCGGATTTTCAATACCAATGTTAAATCAGTCAATCGCTTCTTCTATATGGGTCAGAAACTTGAAACAAGCATAGATATTGTTTTTTGATATGCATTCTTTCATCCCACTGAAATGTTCTTAGGTCAGCAGTGGAACTGCTGTCACATCAAGAAACACAAGTGATTCCAGACAAGACTGAAATCTCTCTTTTTTTTTGAAATCTGAAAGAGATTCAATCGTTGTTAGACAGTTGGAATTAATCGGTAGGAAGCCGTGCTTGACCTGGGTTTCGTGACTGTTGGCACTCACCAGTCAACAAAGCGTACTTGTAATCTTAAAGTTGTATTATATCCTTTCTGAGATTTGTAGCTTGGCCACTCAATACTGAAGTCAAAGACTATTACTACTAGGCTATTTGAGAGCTCGCGATTGACCTCCTGTAGGATAGTGATGTATACTTTGTTTGCACACTAGGTAGTCTAGTCCTTTGTTTAGTGCAGACTGAATTCTACCAGTCAATTACGAACCCGAATACCTCAACGGTAACGTAACGTCTCTGATTGCAGCACTCGGTGACACAGATTCGAATCTCAGGAGGGACATAATTTCCTTCAAGGTTTCAGATGTGCCTTGTTGACTGGTGAGTGCCGACAAGCATCAAACCAAAGTCCAGGCAAGGCCTTCTGCTGATTACCTTCAACATGGCGAAGAGCCACCTAGCACACGGTGACCCTATTGCAAACTTGATTAATAGAATTCAGTCTGCGCCAAAACGAAGGATTAGACATATGTCTATCTGTCTGCCTGTTTTCGACGTAGAACTTTGCACCGATGTGCAGCAGTTCAAGTCGCCACACTCCCTCCATGTAGAACACAGGACAAGAGAAGAAATGCATAATAGAGACAGTAATCAGAGATGTGAGACAAAAGGAATAGTAATAACGAAGAAAAATATACTTCCATTGGATGTCATAAGTCACAAGGAGTGGATGCATCTGCGCCAACCATTGAGAACTATTCTGAGCCATATTACCAATTGTCTCCAGGCATTGGTTCTCACCGTCCCGAGGACCCCAACCAGGAAGTCTACACCTTCCTACGTGGCTTAAATTAACTGTTGTGGATTTCATTGACTGGTGCCATGTTTTCGTTTGACCGCCGCTAGCTCTTTTCCAGCCTGAATCTATGTCAGCTAAAATTGCCCATCGAGGAAGACGATGACTAGGCATACGTAGCACATGTCCTAACCATCTCAGTCGACGTAATTTCACAGTCTCGTCGACTATTTCCCCGCCTTACCTAGCACTCGACGCCTAACCTCAATATTGCTCACCTTATTATACCACTTCACACGGGAGATAGAACGCAGACACCTATGATCGAAGACAGCTAATCTTTTCATGTCTTCCACTTCAATGGCCAGGTCTCACAGCCATAAAGTAGGACGGAGCGAACTGTTGAGCAGTACACACGCCCTTTGGTCATTAGCCAGATATCACGTCTACGCTAGAGACGGCGTAAACTGGCATATGCGAAACTAGCACTTTGTATCCGTACTGAGATTTCGTCAGAGATGGCACTGGCTGATGGTGCTTCCCAAATAAGTGAAGCGGTCAACGTGTTCTGCCACTTCACTTCCTATTTCTAATCTAGGGGTCGATGAAGTCCAATCCTGCAGCATCATCTTACATTTGACAGTGGGAGCGAATCACATGCCAAACATTTGTAGATTGCAACTCAAGGTGTTCAGAAGACTCTGCATTTTGTCAGCGTCCTCGCCTAGAAGGACTGTATCATCTGCATATTCTAGGTTAACGAGATTATTTCCTGGTAGCAAGTCAATCCTTGAGTCTCTGAAGTGAGTTAGGGTTAAATCCATCAGTACATCTATGATGAAATTGAATAGAAATAGGGATAGTAGGCATCCCTGACGGACACCACTAGTTGTCACTTCTGGTTGGAGTCCTCGGGATGGTAATAACCAATGAAGGCTTGAGACAATTGGTGGTATGGCTCAGAATCATTCTCAATGGTTGGCGCAGATGCATCCACTCCTTGTGACTTACAATATCCGATAAAGCAATACAGTTCCTCGATATTACTATTCTCTTTGTCTCATACCTCTGAATACTGTCTCTATTATGCATTTCCTTTAACTTTTTTCTCTTGTCTTGTGTACTACATGGAGGAAGTGCGGCGACTCGAACTGCTGCATATCGGTGCAAAGTTCTACGTTGAAACCAGTCAATCAACTGTGATCTATACAAGGTGAAGACCACGGATAAATCTACTGTAGACGAAGATGCGTTGACACTACTTTCAGTCACACACACACAAACACATGTCAAAACGACTTACTTTGATACCAAGGTTCTGAAGAGTCGTCCACTGGACTAGTTGACTGAATCGGTAAATTTGGATGTTTTCGAATAGCTAGGCAAGTCACTTCTTCTAAAACAATCGAAGAGGCGGTACGCACATCAAGAGCACTAGGTGTTACTGGGATTGCAGATAAACAGGTCTAAAAAATACAAACAAATAAATGAGAAATAATTCATGAGAAGTAATCAATTTTGTGATATATGTGTATATGTATGGTGAGGAGAAATTCACAGTGTTGGTAGAAATCTATTGGCAGGCGGCGACTATTTGACATCATTGGAATGTCCAATTGATTTGTTGACTTACACACTTAGACGACATGCAAGCAATGGGTATCTTTAGAATTATCATGTATGTCAGTGGCCTAAGCAACCAAGCAGTAGGATAAACTCCCGCGCCTAGGAAGTGTGCATACGGGTTGCAACAGTAGAAGACAAAGACTTGGTAAATTGGTATCTCCATAGAGCCAAATTATGCATACCTACCTTATCTTCGACGCACCATTTGCACGCAGATCTTTCGTGTCGTGCTACTTCGGCCTTTCTTTCATATTGTGTTACCTTGTATTCCTTTCACGTCTCCCGTGTATCTCCACATGCTGTCTCATTTATCTTCTCTGAAATCAAATGTATCTCCCTCCTATTTGATGTTTTCATGCCAATGAACGTCTCTCTCTCTCTCTCTCTCTCTCTCTCTCTTATATATATATATATATATATATATATATATATACAACTGATAAATCTTATAAGTAGCACTCGCCACATGGTGTCTGGTTCACAGGTCAGTACAGAAAACTATACAATGTCGAAAAAGTTGCACTGTTTGCATCGCGCATAATTGATGTCTAATGTCATATAAACTTGAAGATCTTTGGGGCGAAAAACAACAAGTAGGCAGTGAAGATACCTAACGACAACAACAAGCACCAATCACTCTCAGTCGGAGAAGTATAAAAGGAGTCACCATTTCAACCATATGCAGCACAGATGAAGATGTCATCACAGGATCGGAAAAGCAAGACAGATCTTTAGTAATCTAAAAAGCAAGTGTAGAAATCTGCTACACTCACCAAAAGGAACATGACTTTGATTTTCAACACTGATTTCAAGTCAGTCAGTCAGTCACAGCTTTTGTATGGCTCAGAGACTTGGTATGAGTATCATAAAAAGCATTTTGAAACAAGCAAGCTATTGTAGAGATACTCGTGAAGAGTTGCCTTTGCTGGTTAAATATTGAGGATCAGATGGTCATCCAAAAAGAACTAACAACATGTTGGAGTTTTTTTTGCTGGCCTCATGTCCAACACCTTCCCTCTTTACCGACTTAGTGCGTCGGTGGCATAGCGGTTAGGACGCTCGCCGACCATGCACATGGTCCGGGGTTCGAACCCCGGCCGACGCACTCCTTTACCTCACCTCGCTAAGCCAGAAATAATGCTGGTAAAGAGGAAAGGTTGGGCATGAGGCTAGCAACCCAATCCCGTAAAATAAACACTGCTACAGGAACTTCAAGTCACTAGCTTGAAGCCCTATGTTCCACTGGGGAACGTGAAGGATAAAAAAAGAAAAAGAAAAAAGAAGTAAAGTAATGTGTCGGCCGGGTATCGAGCCCCGAACTACGCGTGTGGTATGCTGAGCGAGCACTATACCGCTAAGCTGTCGACGCATTATCAACAACACATGTATTGCTTGTTTTCAATTCGTATAAGGAAATAAATATTTCGAAGGAGAAAATAGCATATACACCCTATGGAGTATCATGACTACTTAAACAAAAAGGAAAAGAAGTAGAAATACAAGAAAATCAATCAATTTTGCATGTAAATCACAAACTTATTTGGCTAGCTAGCTTACTTGTGTTGCTACATCCCATAGTCTTAACCAACCCAATCGATCTATCGATGCAATATTACGACCTCGATCTATAATAGCTGTGTCCAGTATACCAGCTCTATGACCACCAGGTTCACTTTTACTACCAGTATTGATGCCTGTGACTGCACCAGCACATCTTGGCGCCAGAGTAGCTGCACATCGACCAGTAATAAGACACCAAATTTTCAATTGCATATCACTTCCAGCTGTTAGGGCGACTAGACCAGATGGAAAAAATTTCGATGTAAGTATATCACCAACATGTCCTTCAAGAGATCTCTAAAGGTGAAATAAGAATAAAGTATACTGAATATTATATAAAATAAAGCGAATTGACATTAACTAATGGTGAAAAGAATTATCAAAAGGATATTTAAAAGTTAACTAGGGAGTGTATACTTATCTAAGCTTAGATTTATAATAGTGAGAACGTCATTTAAACATTATTCCTTCTTAATGTTACACCTCCAACAACAACCGGCACCAATCACCATCAACGGGAGAGATTTGACTGACTTTACTTCCTTCACCTATCTAGGTAGGGAGTATCGTTTCAACCACAGGCAGTCGGAACGGATGAAGATGTCAAAGCCAGCCAGAGTCAGAAAGACAAGAAACGCCTTCATCAACCTGAAACCAGTTTGGAAATCTTCTGCACTCAGCCTCAGAATGAAGAACAAGATTTGGATTTTAAACACAAATGTGAAGTCAGTCAGTCACTTCTTCTATACTGGTCAGAAACTCGCACTGCGTGTCACGAAAAGGATTTCCAACAAGTTACAGACTTTTATCAAAAGCTGTCCCTTTCTCTGGCTCCATACTGAAGATCAAATGGCTGGCTGGCTGGCCAGAAACAACTAGCAACAAGAAACTCTGCAGTGGAACAAACCAGCAGGTGACAGCCGATTGCACAGTATGTCGAAGAGAATGGAGATGGATCGGTTGGGCATACGTTGAGGAGGCCGTCGAATGACATCACTTGCAATGCAGGCCATGGCTCGAGTGGAATCCCAATGGGAAGCGACGAGTGATTCCTTGGTGCGAAGGCGACATGGAGAGATCGTGCCAGTTGGAGGAGATGAGAGATTATGGGCAATCGTGGACCCAGATGAAGAGGACAGCAGAAAATAGGACAAAGTGGAGATGTGTTGTTGAAACCCTATGTTCCACTCGGAAGCCAAGGAAATGAAGGTTATATTACCATACAAATCTTATCCAAAATGGATGTCATCGATTACCAAAGTCAATTGACAACCATCAAAAATAGAATAGCTAAAAAAAAGACAACTTAAACGTAGCGAAAAAAAGAACATATATGTATGCAAGTGTAGGATACCTTTTATGGCTAAAATAAATAGATCAAAGTGAATTAACTTAATGCGAAGTAAATCAACGTCTAGCCCACCTTGTGAGTACTTTAGGTGTTTTAAGTTTAACTTTAACAGGTACACATCTCCGACCAAGCTTGGCTGCCATTTTGCACCTCTTTTCTGCGCCAGTGAAATGCACATCTACAGAATCGGTAGTTTAGGCATATTGGCTGGATAAGTTCTAAATAATTTTATTATTTGATTCTGTTTAAATATATTTATCACCTATGAGAGCACATTTCCAAATAACTGAGCATTTTTTTTTATTTATCTTTTCTTACCAGTATTTACAGGTCAAGTAATGGTGTACTGATAATGTAAATAGAATTAGGCATACTGTGTTTAGTAAAGCTGGTATAGTGTAACATATCAACAGCACAACCAGTACCCTACAGGAGTATGAACAATTTGCTGAAAAGATGCTTACGATTTTGATAAAAAGTAGTGAATACTTCCATGGTATTTCGAATCATATTAACAAGTCTTTAATTACTGATTCTTAACATGGCAGGAATCAGACCGAGATGACCGACGCACTGCGTACATGGCTCAGACTAACTATTGAGAACATCATAAGAGGATCATGGTAATTTTCAGTTTAAACACCCACCAATTATGTTTAATTAACGTAGTCTTTACTCATTTACAATTATTCATTTAACAGAGCAGTGATTTAGGATGATAATACATGTACATGAGTCAACCATTTCACTCCTTATCATGAAATTGGGAGTCGGTACAGACGAGTGCTATGTCACAATCTTGTATTCACCATTTTAGTCGAACGGAAGGTCAGATAACTAAAGTTTTGCTCAAGAAATTCAATCGACTGACTTTCGCTAACACCTATATTTCATGAACTTAAGCTGTTTTTATTCGTAGGTGTCTGTCTTCTATCTCCCGTGTTCAGTGGTATAACAGGGTGAGCAGTATTGAGGTTAGGCATCGGTCGAATGTTAGGTAAGGAGGGGAAATCAATCAACGAGGTTGTGAAGCAGTTGCATCGATTGAAATGGTTAGGATATGTATTACACATGCATGCCAAGCCATCACCTTCCGTAACTGGGAATGTTAGCTGACTGACATAGAATCGATGAGGTTGGAAAACAGCTAGTGATGGTCAAACCAAAAATGACTTCATCAGTCAACGAAGTCTATAACAGCTAGTTTAAGCTGGTCACGTAGGGGAGTGTAGACTTCCTAACCGGCTGATTTGTGTCTTCGAGATGGTAAAAACCAATGAAGGCCGGAGACAACTAGTGATATGGCTGTTTGGCTCAGATGCATTCACTCATTGTGATTCATAATGTTCAATAAAGCTCCATTGTTCTTCCATATTGCTACTATTCTTTTTCCCTCACATTTCTGTTTGTTATATATCTCTACTCTCTTCTCTTGCTTTGTGTGCTCCATAGAGGGAGTGTGGTAACGGGAACTGCTGCACATTTGTGCAAAGTTTTACGTTGAAACAAGTCAGTCAGTCAGTCGCTTAAGATAAATGTGGACATTCTCTACTCTATTGACTGACTGATTGGTTTCACCACAAAACTCTACACAGAAGTAGTGCAGTTAAAGTTGCTGCGCTCCATGTATTACACAAAGGGAGACAAAAGAGAAAAAACAAACTCCCAAACAAACAATAATAGGCAAAATTATTAGGAAGAAAGAATAGTAAACAATTTGAAGGTTTGGGTGATATTTACAGGTACTAGGGGTAATTGAGAAACACTTTCCCAAATCGCTAACATTAATTTTCTCCTCATGTTTTCTTGAGTGTTAGCAAGTCGTTTTCAACAAAAAAGGCCAAATTAATTTTCATAGTTAGCCACGACTTAATAACTACAGCACACTGTCGCGCGGTGGCTGCACGTAGTTTCAGGTCATTATGGGCAATTCGTAGAGCCTTCACTAGAATCACCAGAGATATGTTCACCTCCTTATATACATCCCTGGTGAGGTCAAGACTGGAAAACTGCATCCAGGCCGCCAGCCCTTGTCTAAAAGGGGACTCACTTATTCTAGAAAGGGTTCAAAGGAAAGCAACACGTATGATTCATGGCATGACTAACTTATCATACGAGGAAAGACTAGACAGTTTAAATCTCTTCTCCTTGTCATACCGTAGGCAGAGAGGAGATTTAATCACAATGTTTAAAATTTTAAATAATGACTACGGACCTGACCTATTTTCTCTTTTCCTTCCCACCAGGTCGGAACACCTTAGAGGACATAGCAGGAGAGTTCAAAAGCCAAGAAGAAATCATATTGCTGTTGAGTACTGGTTCTCACACAGAGTCATAAACTCTTGGAACCGACTCCCAGAAGAAGTGGTGTCTGCAGCCTCAGTTGATTCGTTCAAGAAGGGTTTGGACAACCACAGAATTTTACTAGAAAAGGATTAACATAGGCTCCAAGCCTTCTATCCTCAAACAATAAATCTGAAATCTTGAAGAACTTTCCCAGTGCTACATGTAGAGGCAGATACTGCAGAAAAATTCCTCGACAAATGAAGTCTACTACCGCCACTAAATCAAGAAATGTGACAACTATCAGTGTACAAGATACGAAGAAGAGTGAGGATTCACTCGATGTACACTCGTCGAGATTTATTTTTTCCATTTTCTGCCATATACACGGACCATATTGCAACTGCGCGCGTTACTTCAGAACAAAAAGACTTAATACAGAGCATAGTGGCAGTTTTCCAGGTTTATTTCAGCGCTAGATGCATTATTTCAGCTGCGAATCCTATTTTTAAGGTTTCGTCGAATTCACTAAGCGTCCAGTGCTCTTTTTAAAAAAATGACCAGCGTTAGTTCAGTACCCCAGCCAGCAATGATTTCGGGCGCATTGCACACACTTTGGTGGACTTCGGGCGCATTGCAAACTTTTTGGGGCATACTTAAGTTCAAATACTCGAAATCTGCAACGCGCCCGAAGATTTTGCCCCGAAAAGTCTGCAGTGAGCCCGAAGAAAATGCTAGCTGGGACATAGTGGGTTCATTTTAGGTCGATAAAATATTCATTTACAATCCTAGTATGCGGTGAAATGCATCAAGATTTCGTTTTTAAAAAAACATTATACTCAAATTTGCTAGAAATACTACGAAAAAACCAGCTAGCACTTACCCGAACAATCCCGGTTTGTGATTCATACAATTTTAAAGCTGGTCCACTGAAAGAAGCAATAAAAAGTTCACCACTTGGACTAACATCAAAAGACGATAAATGTGAGCGAGGCTGACGTTAATGCAATAGCAAATTCAGACATACATTTTTTGCTGTAGAGCTTAAAAGATCATAGCAGGAATCTGGGCGTTGGAAAAATTTACTGATTTGTGGACTGTGTGACGATAGTTGTAAAAGGTTCTACAAAAGAGTTAATCAATAACTTGACAATACTTGTGAAATTAAATTGCAAGTAATATCTTCATCATCAGGTACTAAAATAGGATTTCGGTATTCCAGTTTGCGATACTTGGTAGAACCTGACAAAATTAAGTGTGTTTATAACTTACTACTATCGTATTGATGAAACCAAATGTACTTTGAATTTTCACTCAAGGCTATATCCCAGTCTGGTTGTATTCTAAATCCTGGATGTGTCATGTGAATTCACTGTAACGTTAACCTTGATTTAAGCGGACAAACTCCAGGCAGTTAACTAGATCCAATATCTTTGTGACGCGCTTCCTATGTATTCAGTGTCATATTTTACGATTTAGTATGGACAAAAGCTATTTCTTTTCGCCGACTTCGTGGTTGTCAGGAATATGTCCCTGGTCTTCGGTAAACTTCTGCGTCTCATCACTCAACTGTCGTAGCTTAATTGACTCCAAAGGGGGTGATTCTGGAGATGGTTATATATTGTTTGAAAGAATAAGTACTCCACAACGGCATAGTTCTTCCTAAACATTTCAACTGTCTTGCTATACCCTTTAAGATGTTCCGAAATGGTGGAGAGGAAAAGGGAAGATACATCAAGTTCAAGTCATTCCTTGGAATACTCAACATTGTGATTAGCTTTCATCTGTGCCCCCGTAGGGATTTAAACTGTACCCCGTTCTCCTTATGCTGAACTGGTCGTAATAAGAACCATGCATGTGATTTCTCAATGAATTCTTTTTAGAATACGTAAGTCCATTTTCAGACAATCGTAAGCTGCATAAGTGTGATCTGCTACTTTCGATTTCACCAGAGATGTGTGTAAAGTGATGAACAATTCAGAAGGAATCCTAGCAAAAGCCTCATTCTACCATACAAGGACATGATTCTGCCAGCATTCACAGCGCAAAAGTGCTACATAAAGTCATGACTTAGGTCATGACATGTTTGACATCAAGGGCAGGGTGTATAGACGGAAGGCAGTGTTGTTGTTTCAGTGCTATATGCGTGGACTTTGTGTCCGATGAGCATGGTTGCTTTGTTGATGGGAACAATCCACTCTTAGGACCAAACTAACAGTTCCCTGGAAACTTCTTGCACTGTCATCCTTAAGCTTGCAGTGTCCCTATTTTGACCGGCATTTCTAAGCCGTTTACGTTGAGAAACACGGATTTTCTGGGCTCAGGATAATTACGAGGCGAGCAAGAGCAGTGTCTTTTGACACCACTCCATTTACTGTCATCCTTGTATGTAGCAGATAGTTGCTTTACGAAATATGTAGGTTGTCACCTAAGGTGAACCATTTCTGCTTGTTTCTAGTCGCTAATTGATTTTCCTTCAGCCCCAGCAAACACGTTAGGCAGGATAGTTCAGCTCGAAATCTGTGCTTCTCCTCATAAAGTAAGCCATGCTTTCTACATGTAACAGTACGTCGAACCTGACAATATATGTCAATACTCTAGCAATTGTGCAGTTCAAAAGTACAAGTAGGTGAGTTGAAAACTGCCTGTTCCTCTCCTTAGCCAATGTGGTCTGAGGTAAGGACATAATGTTCATCTCTGTAGGCAGTTGGTGTATGCCAGAGCGACTGAAGGTCATATGGGGCCTCAAATGGAGAAGGTAAGAATCTTCATGACGACCAAACTAAGTATTAACGAAGGCATCTCATGCAACAGTCACCAACAGAATTTGAACAAACTCACTGGTGGATCCTGGAGGGAAAACACCAATCCGCTATATATGAGGTATATCACAGTCTCATAACAAATGATATTATCCACAATCACCCTATGGTTTGGGTTTCCATCGTACCAAATCCTCCGACTAGTGATTTATGCTCCAATTTGTTGCTTCAGGAGCAAACCTATACCACTTAAAATTTGTTTTGTAGCTAACGATATCACGTTATTAATGTCAATTAGATGTCTTTACACTGTGGATCTAATCAATTATAATCATATTTCAAGTGTTTACACAGTACGCTTTTTATTCTATTCAAATTATATGATATTGTCTACTTAGAATTTCAATAAACATATCTCTAGGATGTATGTGGTGCACAGTAACTTTGCACTCACAGAGGAGTCCAAAAAATTCAGTGGTCACATCCTTGTTAGAGGTAAGTCACTTCCCATCAGTAGCTACAATCACTATATTTACTTATGGTAATGACGACGTTGTCACAAAAATAGTTCGTCGGCGGTATCATTTTTCCCGGGCCATTTACCAAAATTAATCCGTGGTTCTCTGTACTGAACACTAGTTAATTCCTAATTATTTCTGATATTTGACCTTTTGACATAAATTACTGATTAAATAGAAGTCTATAAACTTTACGTTCGCTTCCACTCCTCTAAGGTGATTTCAATTGGCACATTCTTCTGCTTTATTCCGTTTTCCGAAAGCAGTCCAAGTGTAATGGATGAACAAGGTGCACTATGAGTATATTCACTGGCCTAGGAAAGCCAGAAACCCCGCGGCCAAACTTGCGCCAGCTGTTTTCTTCCACATTTTTACTAGCTACCTAATTTACCCTTCCTGAATATACCCTAGGCATGTTTACAACATGTGACTGCATCCTAAGGAGATAAGGAAGGGTCCGTTACTCCAAGATGCACATGGATTATTTCTACTCGGCCTGCTGTTCAGTGTCTTCTAAGACATTTACTCTTTTTCTTCACTTTTCATAACCGAAAGTTTCCATCTATTAACAATGTCAGGGTGCATCATTAGTTTACTTGTCAAACTATTTACTGGTCATGCGGATTATGTCAGGCACTAACCTGTTCATTACCTTTATTCATTAGTGATGTGCGGATTTCTGTGACCTCGCATTAAGCTTACTGAAATCCATTTCTCCTATCAGCATTTCAAAACTAGGAACGATCGCAACATTTCGGGCAGATTCCATATCTTCACTTATTTTGAGGATCGAGTCACTAGGTAAAAAGCAATCCTGAAAATGAGAGTGACACGTTCTGCTAACTGAGTGTATTTTTCAATATTATTATACTTACATCCACCACTAATCTTTCCATTAATCATAACACCCTTCTCAAGAGACTATGATTATTTAACTCTAGTACTGGCTACTGCAGTAATGCATACATTAAAAAACACATACTTGCATTCAGGCAGGTAATGCCGCATAGAATGTCCCAATGTGTCGGTTTATCTGGTGACTTATTGGGAAATACTTGCAAGGTGCTGTATACTTTATGACCGAGACAGACACAAGGAAATGCAATGCTATTACTACAGTTGGCGTAATAAAAATGTCGAGGCTTTTCAAGAACATTTGCTCAATCCATGGTGTGAAGGTAAAAAATTCAGAAGAAATTAACAGCATGCAGTAGTCACAAATCAACCCTGGATAGTGGAAATTGTTGTTTTGATGATGAGGTCATGCCAATGATCACGGACAATACTATTCGTACTAGCGCGAGATCTTATACCCACATCTTTTACAGTATTTGTTTCACGTAGACCGGAGACATATCAAAACACTAGGTTGACCATACAAAATACGAAGTATATTTCGGTACTAGAATCACAGTATGAGGATGATTGCGTAACTCGCTAGACATCGTGCACAAATGAACAAACGTAACACGACAGCGTCCCGAATGGCGTGGATGCATGAGGACGTGCCTTCAGCTAGACACGTCTAACTGGACAGTGGTTAGCATCCACTGTGGAGTGACGAATGCTTTCAAGTCATAATTTTGGGAATCATCTACCTCAAGAACTTTTTCGGCCTACTCGCTATGCCTAATGCACGGCATGGAGCATTCATGCACTTAAGGATGCTATTGTGTGACGCCAAGTTATTTGTGTAAAAGACCGGGGTTGTTAACTGTTCATAATCACTCAACTTTTCTGACCTCAAAAAATACTCCGTATTTGGGACGATCCTTCTGATGTTTTGATTCACCCTCAGCCTATGTAGAATAATAAGATATAATAATTTTGTTAAGGCTTTATTTCAAACAATATGTGAAACCCAAGTGCAGATATTTTTGGCGTATTTAGTTACAAAATATTTCCTCTTCATACAAGATCTACACATATAGTTATGATCTGAAGAATCTTATATGAAATAGGTATGTTGCATATGCAGAAAGAACTAATTCAATAGGTCTTTTCTTCATTTCCCTCAAGAATTGCACAGCGTTTGGTTGCAAACCAATTAAATATACGTGCGAGTTGATGCAGCGGTCATCTGATATAATTGCATGCTTAGAACAATAAGAAATGCAGAGGAGCTTAATCATTACGATGGATAAAAATTCTGGTAACCCAGTGATTTGAGTAGGTTGCCGTCAAAGACTTATTGGATGTAGAGGATAAGGACTTACTTTTGTATGGATCGTACCTTGAGTGGACAGCAGTATATCTTCATCTCATGAAGTACTAATTATTACTTAAACATCAGCATATGCCACAACTACTCTTGTTTATCCAAGGCCTTTACAAACTAACCGTTGCTTCTTCAATTCGCATACCCTTCTCCCTTAGGGTTTGGTTACTCAGAAAAAATGCCCTGCTTGAGTAACACTGCATTCTCATTACAACTGTCGTACTCTTGATAGTATGACAGATACGGTAAGCATTATGCGGTTCAAATGCACATTGCAATTCTAAGGTATGAATGACTTATGCTTGCATTTACTCTCTAAATGTTTCTAAATAATATTTTACCCTTATTTCTGTTCATTACCAACTTTATTGCCTCCCAGAACGTCCAATTTCTATGTAAACGGCACTTAATCAAACGTGGGTGTTGTGCTTACCTGATTAATGTGTGAAAAAATGGCTGGTTATCGGTCAAGTACAGTTGTTCGCGGATAAAAAAGGGAATTTTGAGAAGCTTGCCTAGACTAGATAGTGGTTTCCCCTTTTTACATTAAAATGGTACTGTCCTGATAACGTATGTTGAAAATCAAGTACTTAAATCATGGAAATACCAAAATGTATCAAATGTTTGTGGCACGAAAAACAACATGTTTGAATGAGTCTGTAAAAACGACACACATTTCATATAAATCGATTCGTATATATGTCTAAATGTCGGGCAGCAGGAATCATTAGCTGGGTTTGTTTTACGGTGAAACTGTTTTTCACTCATCATAATATCAGTTTATTCATGATTAAATATTTATCACTGAATGGCATCGCAGCCACTGAAGGTGATACTTTTACCCCATCAGAGAGAGACTCAATCTGTTTACACATTTGGCCTGTGAACATAAGTTAAACAGGTCTATTTTGGTATTACGTTAGACAAATTATTTGCAAATACACTTAAAGAGTATTCATACGTATTAGAGCGAAAGGTAGTTCATGAGGCAGTTTTTGTGGTATTATTATTAAGCAAGGGCAAGCTAGGGATCCAATAGTCGTACTTTTTTCATGGGCGCACCGTCAATGAATATTCTCCGCTCGTTTCTCTATTCTATAGGCGGTAATAATATCGAAGAAGTTCTGACTTCCATTCACCTTGCTGTGTCTTATTTCATGGTTCGATACAGGGAAGCTAACGTATGACCTTTCAAGGAAAACTGCTTTTACAAAAATCATGAACTGTACGTTGCAATACTAACTTGTAATATACGTGTCTAGATGTTTCGCAACAGTCAAGTTTCAACCAGATTCTGGTTCATGCATAGTGTCGACTGAATTGGAATGATACACCAATAATAATATTTTTGCCTACTTATAGCAGTTTTGATGCGGCGGCTGCTGACACACGCTGTGGTTGCCTGTGACACATGCAGGCAGGATAGTTTTTGTTAGTCTCTGAATCTTGCCGAAAGCACAGGGTTTTCCGCAACACTCAGCTTCGTGGACAGTATGAACTCTTGCATGAACGTAGTCTAGATTTCTAACGACTAAGTGATTTAACATAGTAAGATGCATCGCCTCGTCGATCAGGGGAAACGCAAGTGCTGCTTGAACTATGAAGTCACCCAGCAGCAACATAACTGCCTTTTCAAAGTCAATGCTCAAAGGCCATTTACTGATTGAGGAAGTTTTAGTGACTGGTCACCGCCATGTTTCCAGGATTCTGTCAGCTGAAGTAGCTAAGTTTTCAATACTGACTCCTCACATAGTCACAAGCGCAGTCTGCAACGTAACGCAACAACATGCCAAATTGCAAGGATGCTTGACTGCGTACCTTAAGCCTAGGAAATTTACTTAAACAATGAAGGCCAGTATTCATTGATGACTGGCTTTAGTCTATTAATTTTGGGGAGCTATTTTCAGTAATAATTATCCACTAAGTGAGATAGAACTCAAGGTTTCATGCATCTGATTTCACCCTTTCCGAACCAAGCTGGAGAATATGCCTGAATACGTAGACAAACCTAGCTAATCCCTTCTTCCTGATAATTTTAACCACAGCAGCAGTTGGAACGGTATAAGCATAAAGAGGGCATAAGATTGGGCGGGAAGTCACTCAGTCAAGGGACGAACACTGGGCGGTTGACTGAAAGATAAGAACAAATGTCCAGATTGGGAAGTTTCCTTCATCAATCTACTAGGCGTTGGATACAATGTCCGTAGGAGTATCACATTCGAAATGTAGACGCAAATTAATGGCTTCTTCTCTACCATTGTCAATTCATATTTGCAACCGACATAACATATTTTGGCTCGTCTAAACTTATCTGGGAATTCATCCTCACTTAGCATGTTCCGGATGCTGTGGTTTTCTTTCTTCACGCATTCCTCAGACGAAATCAACTTTGCTGTAAGCATGCGATAAAATTACGTTTACGAATGTAAGGATGTGTGTATACTAGGCTTTGATATCTAGCTTTCTCAGTGTGATTCTTTTAGCGGAAACATCCTTTCTTCTTTTTAGTGGGACGTTGAGAATGCACAAAGAGGTGAAATGAGCCTCTGAGTGGGCATCATTACAGTGTTCCTAAAATTAAATCCCTACGCAGACCTTCATCGTGGACTACAAAAGTGTTATCTATATAACAGTAGCACAATTCAAATTTTCCACACTGAAGATCAAATAACGAGAAAGAATTAGCGATGGGAGACTCTGGAGAAGAACCAGCCAAGAAATTGTTAACCAACAAATATGCAGAAGGAGATGGACCGGATGCACACTAAGAAGACCTTTGAATGACACTGTATCTCAGGCCATCGCTAGGGTAGAACTTAGATGGAAAATAACCAGTTTGTTGGCCGTTTGGTATCGACATGGACGAGAACATGTGAAGAGAAAATGAGGGCATGCGATCAATCATGGAGCCAGCTGAGGACGATGGACAAGAAAATGATGAAATGGAGATGTGCTGTCCAGGCATTATATTTCACTAGAAACCTAAGCGAATAACAGACTAACTCAACAGTTCTATTTTTACTCAAGTATTGGTTTTTAGGGATTCGGTTGACTGGTTACAGGATTTCATCTTGGGCTGACATTGGTTAGAGAACCATTGGAAAACCTGGGAGTACTACTAGATAGCTGTTTCGTACGCACCCACCAGGATTCGAACCCAGGACCTTCTGGTTACAAGGCGAGCTCGTATACCATTAAGCCACTGGGACCCGATCCAATGGCCCATGAATTCTAACTTCTGCCAATGAGATGCTCCCTGGCGACTGGTCCTATTCAGATAGGTAGTTACCTGGGGTTCCAGTGGGAAGTCGTGACCAGAAGGGTGCAGCAGGTCGGGTGTGAGGAAAAATACTCGCCGAAGACATTAGCTAGCGGTTGCGCTATGTCGTGAATTGTCAGAAGTTAGAATTCATGGGCCATTGAATCGAGCCCCAGTGGCTTAATGGTATACGAGCTCGCTTTGTAACCAGAAGATCCCGGATTCGGACCCTGGCTGTAGGTGCGTACTGATGAAGAGTCACAAAATAGGACGAAATAGCTGTCCAATACTCCCAGGTTTTCCAATTGTTCTCTAACCAATGTCAGCTCATGATGAAATCCTGTAACCTGTTCTATTTTTATTATTTCACTTTCCAACGGACCAGTTTCTGGTTTTATTGCTAATATGTTCGGAAATATCGGAGGTGTTATAGCTTTGCTCCATCAACTTGTCTCTATATTTCATTGCTAAACAGGAACAATGGATATGCGTTTTACATTTGAGACTGGTGACAATAACATCAGTATACAGCCTCCCTATAATCTGTTCATAGATGTAATGTTGATATCTAGGCACATATGATAAACGCAGTCAGTATTGTTACTGGTAACACAATAACTAAGAACGGAAAAGCTTCTCTATCGACCGTGATTTTGCATATGCTGACACGATAAACTTATTGAACAGAATTGATTCGCTTATTTTTGGCTTAAATTTCTGTTGTTGTTCTTGTTACGGTCGTCATATTTCCTAGTCTTGTACCTGTGGGAGACAGATATTTTCAAGCGCTCGGTTGGTTATAGTGTCGTGTTCATAAGAGGCGCATTCTAGTCAGATTAGGAGAACCCATAACCCAGTATCACTCCGTCATAAAACAAAAATACAGACATGTATATACATTTATTTTATTGCTCAAGTAGAAAAAGGGATATATATGTATATATATCAATGGTGTACAACAGAGAAACACGCTAGCAATTAACATTTACAATTCAGTTGAATTGGTTGAATGACTTTCTAAATATTGTAAAAATAATAACAGTGTATCTCGAATTGTTGTACGTGTACTCTCATCCATTGCAATAATATGGCTGCCATAATCGCTTAAACAAATCATTGTATTTGGATTTGGCTAAAAAAAGAGAAGAGAAAGAAAGTAAGATAGGAATATGTTAGTAAGGTGAACACCATTAGCCTGCCGTACTTCCAATATGCGTCAAACTACTATGATGGGCATTATATAATAGTTAGATTATGGAATTTATCGTCGAATGGTCCACGCGCCTGGTGTCGTAAGCTAAAAGTTTCGGATTCGATCGCCCGCGGAGAGCTCCAGATAAATACTAAACAGCTATGGATTGCTGCCTGGTTTTCAGTGATCTATAACTGATGTTAGTTCGTGACGAAATAAAACAATTGATGCCAGCTACTTATCAGTATTGATGTGGTTATGTTCTCTGAGCTGAATGGTTTCGTTGCGAAACTATCACTGTCTTTCTAGGAAACATTTTCAGCTTTTAAAAAATAACTCTCCGAGTTTATTATCTGTCTCTCCTAGTGACGTTAAATGTGGTTGATTGTTTCCGGAGGTTTTCCTATCCTCTTGTCCGCTAGTATTGGCACTGATTACTTTGTTGACCTTTCATCCATATGACTTCCTTCTTTATTGATTAATAATTCTTATGTATGTCATTATGTCTGTTGATTCTAGACTCATCTGAGTGGGATTTTGTCGGCGGCACAGCGGTTGGGACTCTCGCCGACCATGCACATGGTCGAGGGTTTGATCCCTAGCCGACGCACACCTGATATCAATGGTCAGCCTGATAAATTTGGGCCACCGGTATCACATGCTGAAAATTCCATACTTGTATCAAAAAGCTGTGTGGAATCAAGCAGTTTTAGTGTTCCCCTTGTCAAGGATGTGTACATTTTACAAGTCGAAATGGCTTCCGTGGCTGTTTACATCCACTGAAATGACGTGCAACTCGTGGATGCGGCGACGAACACGACGTTCACCTTGACCGGTATAGTGTTCGTCACAGTTCATACAATTCATCTTGTAGATGTTGGTTTTATCTTTAGCGGTTATGTTTTCTGATTGAGACAGAACAGTTGAAAGTGGTTTTCTGTGTGTGTGTGTGTGTGTGTGTGTGTGTGTGTGTGCGGGCAGCATCCGTTCCGGGATGATTCCAGTAATCTTGCAGTAACTATTGCTCATAATCATATCAACTTGATATGATTATGAGCAATAGTTTGTGCTCGAAACGTCTTTCAAGAATATCCGTGTTCCTGAAAAACGATGATAACATATTTCTCTTCCCCTCTCCTTAATGCATGTGGAATTGATGGTGAGAAAATATCCAGAAACATCCAATGTTAGCAGAAGGCATGGATAATAAAAATCATGGAGAATTGATTCACAAACAGTTCACCTCAAATTTAAGTATGCGCTGAAGATGTTGTCTAGAGAGATAATGAAAGCTTCGCAACTAAACCATTCAGCTCAGAGAACATAATCACACATATGTCATCCATCGGAAATCTACATATCAAGCAATGCGTTGGTCTGTGTACAAAGAAGAATTGTGACCAATGTTGGCCAGCTCGACTTCAAAGCCAAAATTTGTTGATCGACTGCATAACTCTTCAAAAAGTGTTCTTTATGATTGTGTCCTTCAAAAACTGAAGGACACAAGCACGAAGGACACTTTCACTGCAACTGTCAGAGCAAAGCAGGAAACACAACGTGGCATCACTGAGGAATCATGCGTGGAAAACCATTGGAACTCTCTGAAGGTAATTTTCAACGAAACGTGTTCAACGGTTTTAGGAAGAAAGAAGAGACAAGACAAGGAATGGCTCTCAACAGACACTTGGAAGCTAACAGAGACGAGAATGGTGAAAGAGAAAATGATTCAATGCAAAGACGGACAAAAAAAGGAGACGCTGAGTTCAACTTACATAGCACTGAACAAAGAAGTGAAGAAGAGTGCTAGGAAGGACAAAAGACAATTCTACGACTACCTGCCTACTGAAGCTGAGAAGGCAGCAGGCAAAAGGGACCTGAGGACATTATATCAGATAACCAAGTCTCTATCCGTGAAGAGATCAACACAACTGAAACCTATAAAAGACAGCCAAGGGAACCCAATTACCAAGGAAGAAAGGCAGATTAAACAATGGGCGGACCACTTCAAAGGACTCTTGAACAGATCACCACCTGCAACCCGTCCGGAAATACCAACAACAGCACGTACACAACTGGAAGTTGACACCAATCCTCCAACGAAAGCTGAAGTCTTGAATGCAATCAAGCTTTTGAAAGCTGGAAAAGCAGTTGGACCAGATAGAATGCCCCCTGAAGCACTGAAAGCGGACCCAGAAACGACAGCATATATGCTAACTCCATTATTGCAAAAGGTCTGGAAGGAGGGAAAGGTGCCTACTGACTGGAGGAAAGGTTACCTCGTGAAACTACCAAAGAAGGGCGACTTAGGTCTCTGCAAGAACTGGCGAGGAATCATGCTCCTGTCGACGCCAAGTAAAATTCTGAGTCGCATCATCCTGGAGAGAATAAAGGACGCACTGGATGCAGAATTCAGACCAGAACAAGCTGGATTCAGGATAGGCAAATCATTCCATATTAGTTTGTTTATTAGATATATCACACAGTGAAACAGTATCATTTACTGGATGACGTTTCGAACAAAATTTATTGTTCACAATCATACCAATTGTAATCACACGACTTTGAGACTTGAGTTTTATTTGTTTTCTCCTATATGTCGTAGGGGTAGTAGAATTTTCCAGATATCTGGGACAGGTGATGAATCGTTCCCATTACATGTATTTACAGTTGATTCGATAAACAAAGCTTCTGTTATCAATCTCTCCCTATACCCTGTGACATTAGATAAAATCTATCAATGACTATTTTGCTAACGTCAACTCGTGACGGAATTTAATTCGATCGACGGGAAAAAAACTAAAAAAGATTTCATTTCAGGACGAGTTGAAGGTAACAGATACACACTATAATTTAATCATCCTTCAAATAGTGAGAAATACCCACCAGAAAATCACTGGAAAGGCATCATTTGATGAGCTTCTTGTTCTATTCCATCAAATAATCACTGTCATCATTCACTAGTGTACATACACACACACACAAGTCAACAATAACTACTTTGAACTGAAACAGTCTTGAATGTATGCATATCGTGGAAAGAGGTGTTGTGTTACATTATAATAGTTCGTCTACACACAGGCTGTGATTGCCTTACATTGGAGATAAGAAATTAATACAAACTAACACAACAAGTGGCAATCTACCAAAAATGCCTCATTGCAAATGATAACCAGAACCCAGGGGAAGCTTCTCTGCCCATATCTGCCATAGAAAATGGGGCATATGACCATTTGCATGCCGACTAGTTTTATTTTTCACACCATTTTTTTAAGAATTAAATGTGTTAAACCAACACACTAGAAAGATTACAGGTCAGGAAAGACTGTACCTTTCGTGACTTAGCACGTTCCCTTGTAGAATTATGGAGTGTTGGAAATTGGAGTGAAATAGATTGCAATTTCTGTGCGATATTCGACAGACTGATCTGCTTCCAGAATTGGAAGCAGCAGTTTAACTGACCACCCGTCATCCCTACATGCAGTGTTCACTTTTTGAATAGATTCTCATACCTGAGGAAGTGTGTGTGTGTGAATCGTCTTGTTCAAGTTTGGGTCTGATTTACTGGTCACTAACCAGTATGGAAATGAACCAATTAGAACTTGGCCCACGCAAGTGATCAATATCCAGTCTGGAAATAAACCAATCAAAATTGGCCAACATAAAATAATACATCACAGACTGCTGCTCCTCAAGGTGTTTAGAAGGCTCTGCATTTTGCCAGCGTCTTCACTTAAAAGGACTACATCATCTGGATTTTCTAAGTCAACGAGATTATTCCGTGGTAAAAAGTCACGTCGTTGAGTAGGTGAAGTCAGTTAGGGTCAAGTCCATTAGTACATTTATGATGAAATTAAACAGAAACGAGGACAGTGGACATTCGTGGCGGATACAACTTCAGATGAGAACTCTCCACCGTAGGCTCTCACCTGGCTGCATGAATTCGTGTAGAGTGCCTTGGTCAGTGATCAGAATCCGAATGGATGGAATAGTGTATGAACCGCCAAGCAGGAGAACGTTTAGCTCCTGACGCTTATCCATTGTGTTTTGTAGATCAGACTTTCAAGCAAGATACTCGGAAGTGTGGTGGCCCACTTGGGACGACCACCATCTGATTCAGTTTGGGCGGGGCGCCCCGGCAGTATCCCAGATGTCGCAGAAACTATGGGATTATTTTGTGTGACGCATCTCTTGTTTCAATAACAATAATAATATACGTTGAAGTAACTAAAGCCAACCATTATGTCTGAGTAGCAATTATCCGTCTCTCATTAACCACCTTAATGATCAGGTCCAATCCGCTTACGCACACACACACACACACACAAAGAAAATTTTAACGAATTTTATAATGCACACAAGAATTCAATCGACTTACAAATAGAATTACGTCGACATTATCTATAGACTCAGAGGATTTCATATTATACACTGCAAACCTGGCGTAGACTTGACGTGCTGTACACGGATCGGCGAGATAGGCACCGGTAACACCACGTTCTGTCAGCTTTTGTATTAATTCATAAGGATTAATTCTAGTCGACGATTGATTATCCCCATTAGCACTGCTACCATTGAAACTGACAAGTACACGATTATCGCTGTCTAATTTTGTGTTGAAATTAGATTTTATGTTGCGATTTTTAACTTGATTACTTGATGAATTCGTCGACGCCAGACTGGTTGACAAGGCTGAAGGTGGTGGTGGTGGTGTAGATGGGCGTATAAAATCCTTTTTGACAGGATGAATAATATCCGGTTCAAGTTTCTCCTCTTTACTTACTAACCAATGTTTACCTGTTAAATTGAATTAAAACAACGAAAAAAGCATAAGGCGGCATAAACAAAAGTAAGCACGGACAGATTTCATTTTTATATCATTTTTCAGGTGTGTTCACTGGATATATTCATGAATAATACCTATTCAAGGGGACGAGAAGATAGGAATACGCCACACTGACTAATAAGAAGACTCTAGAAGATGTGAATTTTGCTCGGGGATGATTAATGTTGAATGTCACACAGACTCGAAGATGCACAGGCGAAAACCAAAAAACTGGCTGAAGAGGCTGGCTGGCAGTGAAGACAAGACTCCAGGTGAGCATAGAGAAGATGGAGGTGATGAAGATAACCAACCAACGGCAACAACAACAACCAGCACCAATCACCATCAATGGGAGAGATTTGACAGAGGCAGCGGCATCGTTTCAACCACGGGCGGTGGCACGGATGACGATGTGAAAGCCGGCCAGAATCGGAAAGGCAAGGCAGACACTCGTCACTCTGAAACAGGTTTGGAAATCTTCCGCTTCACTCACTCAGTATAAATAAAAAATTATGATTTTCAACACAAATGTCAGTCAGTCTTTCTATACGGGTCACAAACTTGACCAGTGAGTCACGAAAAGCATTTCCAACAGACTATTGCAGATTCTTATCAACAGCTGCCCACTTCGCTGGCTGGTCCTATACAGATGATGAAATGGCCGGCTAGCTGGCCAGAAACAATTAGCAACAAGAAACTCTGCAGTGGAACGAACCAACAGGCGAGAGCCGGTCGCTCAACAAATATGTAGGTGGATTGGGCACACACTGAGGAGACCGTCAAATGACATCGCGTGCAACGGAGGCCATTGCCTGAGTGGAATCCGGATGGGAAGTGACTAGTGGGTCGTCCTAAGGTGAAATGGAGGAGATCGTGCGAGTTGTTGGAAATGAGAGATTATGGGCAGTCGTGGACCCAGCTGAAGAAGACAGCACCACATAGAACAAAATGGAGATGTGTTGTTGAAGCCCTGTGTTCCACCACTCGGACCCCCAATGGAGTAAAATAAAAAATTAATCATACTCCCCTCAAGAGGTCAAAGCGTTAAGAAAGTCACATAGTACAATTAACTATCAGAGACAATCAATCGGTGTAGCGCTTAAAGTTAAACTCCCTAGGAAGGAATTTTAGGTGATTTCCGGTGACTGTATACCATAATATTATTAAACAATATGTTCACAGAAATACTTACGGAATATAAACATTAGATCATAGGAAATAGTGAAAATACAAAAAAACAACTTATTTAGCGAAGAGACTTTTAACGAAATTATTATTACTGTTCCATAACCTGAAGGACAAGATCCTGCAGTTGACCAACTCTATGTGTGCGATTATCAATTCGCCTGCTTGTGTAAAGCTAAGTATATAGGTAGTTCAACTCGAGTTTTATCCAAGAGGGTGCAAGAACACTATCCAACTGGTGGTTACAAAGAAGTAGAAATGGAGCTATAAAAAGCTCTATCATTGAACATCTGGTCGATAATGATCACATTATCTCTACACCGTCCCTCTTTAACGTCATCTACAAGGTGAAAAATAATCTGTCCAAACCACTACGTATCCGATTCATCTGTACTATTGAAGCAGGTTTGGCCATCGAAACAGAAAAAGTTTGTTCAACGCCTCTAAATTTCATGATCTTACTTATCATCCAGATTTTCAACTCCAATGTGAAGTCAGTCAGTGCTACTATACGGATCAGAGACTTGCACTGCGCGTCATAAAGAGCATCTCAAACAAACTACAGATCTTCATTAACAGTTGTCTTCGCTCAATACTCAAGATCAGATGGCCGGCCAGAAAAGATCAGCAACAGGGATCTCTGGCAATGAGCGAACCAACACAGCAGGAACCTATTGTGAAACAAATAGGCAGGAAGAAATGGAGATGGATTGGCCATACTCTGAGGAAACCATCAAGTGACATCACTAGACAAGCCCTTGAGTGGAACCTGAAAGGGGAGCAGCGAGTTGGTCGTCAGTGCAAGGGTGGGTGACTTGGAGGAGGTCGTGTGAAGAGGAGATGAAAGGATGTGGGCAGACTTGGAGCCAGGTGAAGACTCTAGCAGAGAACCGAACGCAATGGAGACGCACGGCTGAAGCCCTATGTTCCTCTATGAATTAAAGGAAACAATAATATTATAATAATAATATATATATTGATTTCACAAGAATTTATCCTGTTAAGGACTTACCATCTCTAGTGGTGAGCAATCCATCCACTAAAGCAATACATGTTCGTTTATTCTGACTATCTTCTCCTCCTCCAGAGTCTTTATCATCAGAGATGGTTGCAGGCGTAGTAGAAGTATCAGATGAAGTTGTAGTTGTTACACTAGTAGGCACAACCGAAGACGGTGTAGTAGTATCAGACAATTTACGTTTTAACTCAGATTTCCCAACAACTCCTACTGCTCCGCTTCCGCTGCTTGCGCCTGATAACTGATCAGATTCCCCAGCTTGTTGAGATGATTTAATTTTCATTTTACTGTTATTATTGTTACTGTCGTTCACTTTGTCAGCATAACTACTACTACTAATACTACCACTTGCACTGACAGATTTCTCTGACTTTTCAGTATCTTTCAAGGTTGTTGTTATGTAAACTGGTTTGATTTTACTCACTAATTTTGATGAGACACGAACTTGTTGTAAACACTTGTCTGGTAGATTAAGGCATAAATGTTGACCATAGGCTATACCGTGTAATTTTGTCTTGAATTGCTCTGATGTTGGAATATTTGACTAAAAGAACCAAGGAAGGAAGGAAGGATTCATGATGATGATGATGATAGGAATAGATAAAAAATTAAATTTAAAAAAAACTATTGAGATATAGAAACGTTAGAAGTCAATTGGTGGATGGTGACTAGCAGTAGATTCCAGAACAAGATGTGCATTTCGTCCTATTTGGGACTTGTCAGCTAGCGGGATGTATTATAATAATAGTATTAATAATTTTTGCTCTATTCCAAAAACAGTACTAATGATACAGCAAGGAATTTTCAGCATTCAGTACAATATTCCGCCTAATTTACTCAAAACGACAAAAAATAAACATTGCATAATGATAATAATAATAACAAAACGGTGTTATAGCAGCTATGTAGCAACTACATTATGCGATAAGGAGAAAAAAATGCATAAAGTATAAAGTTGTAGTAATAATAGTAATAACAACTGAAATAAAATTGCTAAGTTATCATTAAACGATAGAAAGGTTGACACCATAAAATTACAGAAAGATGAACAATGAAAGGGTTGAATTACTTTGCTAATTACATAGTAACTTATATGTTTCACGTCTAACAGAGTCTTCATCACATAAAATACGGGCTAAATATGGTATTGCAGAATTTTTGTATTTAGTGGTTCGAGCATATAACTTTTTATATTGACTTCTCGTCCTACCTGGTGAGATACAAGGGGATAGTTGTGAATAAAGGGGGTGCAGGGGGTCTAACAGTATGGCTTTTGCCCATGTTGTACAGGAATTTATGTGTCTCTCGACTATGACATTGGCAGGCTCACGCAGTGGCATACCACAAGCCCTACTCACAGCATTTAATACCCTTCGTAATATGATATAGTCTGTTTTGAGAAGCCCAGGAAAGATTAATGGAGAGCAATCGAGTACAATAACCTCGCCTAGATTACTAGGTCACTAGTTTTCTAGCCGGTCCCAAGCCCGGACAAAACTTAACCAAATTGCTACAAAAACTTCAACGCACAAATATATTTAAAATTCTAAAAGTACAAACAATAACCTTATTTTTCGCTGGAATCAGGGAAGTGAAATGACGCAGGCTGGTGAAAGCCTTCGGGAAGCCAGTCAGCCGATGTGCCTTCTTTCGATGAAAGCAAAAATAAGGATGGGGACGTGGAATATTCGTACAATGTACGAAACTGGAAAGGCTGCTCAGGTAGCCGCAGAAATGAGGAGATATAAAATGGAAGTGTTGGGAATCTGCGAGAGCAGATGGAACGGATGTGAAAGGAGCCAACTACCAACTGGAGAGATAATAATCTACTCCAGAGGACGATCGTGAGCACACCGAGGGAGTAGCCATCATGATGTCACCAACAGCGGCTAAAGCTCTCATGCAGTGGGAACCAATCTCCTCCAGGATAACGACAGCCAGGTTCAACTCAAAAGGAAGGTTACAATCATTCAATGCTATGCGCCTACAAACGTCTCAGAACAAGAGAAGAAGGAGGATTTATACAGTCAACTACAAACAGTAATGGACAACGTCCCAAAGAGCGATATCAAAATCCTGATGGGCGACATGAATGCGAAACTGGGAGGAGGCAGTATAGGAAGAGAACTCACCATGGGTCGCGAGGCCCTCGGTGAAATGAACGAAAATGGTGAACTCTTCTCAGACTTCTGCGCCTTCAATGATTTGGTGATCGGTGACGACATGGATTTCACCAGATGGACACACCAAAATCCAGATAGACTTCATTTCAATCTCAAGGAAGTGGAGACGGAGCCTACTGGACACAAGGTCGAGGAGAGGAGCAGATGTGGGTTCAGACCACTATCTAGTACAAGGAACTTTCAAGATGAGGCTAAAAGCATCGAGGACAGCTGGGGATAGGCCACAATGCAAGTTCAATACTCAAAAACTGAAGGATACAATCATACAGGACATTTTCACTGCAACTGGTAGAGCAAAACAGGAAACACCACGTGACATCACGGAAGAATCATGCGTGGAAGACCATTGGAACTCTCTGAAGGTAATTTTCAATGAAACGTGTTCAACGGTTTTAGGAAGAATAAAGAAACAAGACAAGGAATGGCTCTCAACGGACACTTGGAAGCTAATAGAGGAGAGGAGAATGGTGAAAGAGAAAATGATTCAATGCAAAGATGGACAAGAGAAAGAGACGCTGAGCTCAACTTACACAGCAAGTTTCAAACCACTGGCTTGAAGCCCTATGTTCCACTGGGGAACGTGAAGGAAAAAAAACGGCACCTTGAGGAACACCGGCTTTTGTAAGCGAGGCGGAAGAAGATTTGCCATTATATACAGTATACTGCAATCTGTCTTATCCAGTGACAGTGATGGTGTTCCCACCGAGGCTCAAATCCAGTGTCCATAGTTTCAAATGCCAAAGCGTTATCCCCTGGACCAATTGGGCCACGAGAGCCACCACTTGGGCAATAGGTCAGATTAATTATTTAATTCAAATTTAGATTTTTCCATCGATTGACTGAACCGAAGTGCTCGGTCTCAGGTTGACATATCGGCTCCTTGATAAAATGCACGTTATCCTGGATTCCACTGCTAGGCACCATCGACCAATTGACTTCAAGTTACATGACCAGATATCATCGAAGCATCTGCACAAGGAGAAACCGACACGTCCACCTGAGACCAAGCACTTCTGTCCAATCAGTCAATCAATCTACGGGAAAATCTAAAATTGAATTATATAATTGAAACGTTAGGTAGACATATCAGTCGGAATGCAGAGTGATTAATGTTGTGTACCCAGGGGTCCTTAGAAATATTGGCACTGAACGAATTTTGTTATCAGTCAAGTTTGTAATGTGGCCATCGACAAGCTAGAGGATTCACCACCGTGGAGCACTTTAAATTGATGTCATATGGTTGGCTGTAGGAAGCCCAGAATCTCTTATGGAAGGGAGAAAAAGAGAGAGAGAGAATACGATAATCCTCCCATTACATCTTAACCTTTTTCACCTTATGACATCTGACGTCAACCAGCCAGTAGTCTGATTGACTGACAAACAGTCCCAAACCAGAACGAAACAGCTGGCTGTCCAGTACTCCCTGGTTCGTTTACCAATGATTTTTTAACTGATGTCAGCTCATGATGAAATCCTCCAACCAATCAAACACAACATCCCTACAAAAGCAATACTTGAAAAGTTTTTCAATTAGTCAAAGTTGTCACAAAATAACTTTCAATCGGTTCATTCACCGACTATATTAATCTACCCATTTATCAGAATGTTGAGTAATAATAATAATAATAATAATAATAATAATAATTTGCTTTATTCCAAAACAGTACTTGTGATACAGAATGGAATTCTCAGCATTTTTACTACAGTATTGCATCCAGTTAGTACATTATCAATAAATAGAATTCTACATAGATTGAGGAAACCACAGTTCATTATTACAACAATACATTGGCATGTCAGTAGCAAAGGTAAAGCTGAAACAGTGTTCGAAGGTGTTAGAAAAGTGGGAGCTGTCTTATTAACTGGCGTAAGCGACAGAAAGAAACAAAGCAGCACATAACGGAAAAAAGGAAAGAGAGAGAAAAGGAAAAGAAAGAAAGAAAATGTTGTACCTATTGATGATGTGGGTTGGAAAGACGAGATCCAGTTGTACTACTGACTATTTAATGAATTATAGGTGTCACGCCTAATGCTTTCTTTATCGCACAGAACACGAGCTAAGTAGGGTATGGTTGAGTTTTTGTACTTGCTGGTGCGAGCATATAGTTTTCTATATAGGCTTCTGGTTTTGCCTGATGAGATGCAAGGGGAGAGTTGTGAGTGAAGAGGGTGGTGTGAGTTAGATAAAATGGATTTGGTTCATTTTTCACATGAGTCCATGTGCCTGTCAACCAGAATATTAACAAGCTGGTTAAGTGGCACATTGCTTACCCTGCTGACAACATTTAACATCCTGCGTAATATGGTATAGCCTTTCTTCAGTAGCCCGGGAAAAACTAAGGGGGAACAGTAGAGAATAATAGGCAGGATGCGAGAATTAACTAATTGTAGGAGTAAGGGTTGGGTAATACCAGAATGTTTTAACTTCGTGATGTAGAAGGTGAGACGGAATATTTTCTTAGAAATCATCAAGATATGAGACGACCAGGAGAGATCAGCAGATAGAATGACGCCTAGGTATTTAATTTCCGATTTAGTTTCTATTTCAGTGCCGTCTGAATGAAACACCACAACCGAAAACGGATCACCTACCATCCAATTCCCTGGTTGATCATAAACTTCTTGAGGTAGAATCAATGCCAGTCGTGGTTCACCACAACGTTTTATCAATTGATCTACTTGATTGGCGCCTATTCTTGCTTCCATTGGTAACCAATAAACGGTAGCTGTATCACTGATCGATAGGACTGGTGTACCACAGCCTGAATTGTTGCTTAATTGTGAAACTTTTGTACAATTGGTTGACAACTTGTCTGGTTGAAGGAATGGTGTAATAATTCGTCGAAGATGTGTTTCAGGAGTACATAATGTTTTTGAATTCCATTCAAAACTAGGTTAAAAGGGTAAAAAGAAGAGTTGAGAAGGTGTAGAAGTATTCATAAAGGTTTCAGATCGATTACACAATCAGCACTTATAATACATTTAAAGAGAAATTAGTCCCTTTTATAAATTTGGATAGTGTTATTAGAATAAGACGGAGATTATCTGAAAACTAATGTGGGATGTATTCAAAATATACATTTCGAACAACAATCTGATCCCGCACACATTTACTTCTCAAGTCGATATTTGTGAAAAAATGTTTAAAGGGCAATTAACTTAAACAAAGTGACAAGTAGAGGTTTAAGAATAATTAACACAACGTTTGGTAATCCAATCAAATAAGGATTACCGAAGTAGTAGCTTAAGAGTAATAATAAACTGTTTTTGAACATACAGGGCGGTAGGGGAGGGGGGCTTGAGTTTATGAATAGCTATAGCCTCAGCGTATTTCAATAAGCACCCAGGACCTTCCGGTTAGAGTCGCGCTAAATCACGAATTGGTAGAAGTTAGAATTCATGGGTTGGGCATTGATTCGGGTCCCAGTGGCTCAATGGTCTACGAGCTCGCCTTGTAACCAGAAGGTCCTGGGTTCGAACCCCGGTGGGTGCGTACTGATGAAGAGTCCCAAACTAAGACGAAACAGCTGTCCAGTACTCCCAGGTTTTCCAGTGGTTCTCTAACTGATGTCAGCTCATGATGAAATCCTCCATGCAATTATTCAATATTATGGATGCATATAACTGTAGAACCTGATGAAGAAGGGGTTATCGAAAAGAATATTCTTTATTCAATAACTATTCTTTTGAAAAAAGAACAAAACAGTTTTAATGGGCAGTTTTAATCAATAAATTCTCACTTACGCTGGTACATAATCTCCCGATTCAATTAGGATAATTGAATGATGCGATGGTGTACTAGTAGTAGTAGCAGTACGGCTTCCCAAGCGTAAACCTCCATAGGCCAATGCACGCATAAGATGTACAGCTGGACCGATTCGAAGACTTGGATGACTAGCAAATATAAGACATGGAGAATTTGGCCAAATTCCACCACTAACTACATTATTACTACTACTACTACTATTATTACTATTACTATTAGCCATAGTACTATCTCGAACTGATGAACTTGTTAAAGCGAGAATAGTTGACGAGGATGTTGTAGTTCCTCCAGTGGTAGAAGAATTCAAAGCAGATTGTTCAAAATAATTACCAGAAGTAGACGATGAATTGCCAGAGCCAAGAAGAAGTGGTGATGTTAACATATGACTTGAATATGCCGTACTAGATGAATCAGAGAGTAATTTCTTACTAGATGAACTGTCATACAGGCTTTTGAGAGCTACCAGTTGACCAGATTGTAATAACTGAAACATTTGAGAGGCAAAGACAATATGATGATGGATTACGTAATCAAGTTAAATAATTTATAAAGTCAAAAGAAACTAAGAGAACATTGGACAGTCAGCTAGGTAAGTGTTTCGGATTTAGAGTTTGTGATTCTTCAGCAGTGTGCGGCTAATGACCCGAAAAGGAATCAAAGTTGATAAAGGCCACAGGTTACGAGGCAACTACGACGTTAACCAACTTCTAATGGATTCGACCTAGTAACACTGCAAGTCTGATCCGAAAGGCAATGGAGCAGCGTCAGGAGTTACATTCCAACGGTTGGCGGTAACCAAAACAGGATCATATAATATTCGATCCCTTTAGATTCTGGATTCTATGTACACCATAGATTTGGAATTACGGTTGTTCTTCAGCTACCCTAGGTAAAATTACATGTCGCTAAGATGTGCAAAGACCAGGGTAGATCTTTATTCTGATCTACCCTGGGTTGCTTTAAAAAGACTATGTCATACTTTGTAGAACTCTGAAGACCGTTAGTAGGGTGAGTGGTGTCCCATTAGGCCACATCGTCAATGATAGGTACTAAATTTCATGCAATAAATTTGTTAAAGGTATTTAGTCAGACTGTGAGTATCCACTTTCGCTAAGCATTTCCTCCTCAGGTAGAACAAGAAGTCATTTCAAAAGACTTTAAGAGCGTACATCTAAGTATAATAATTCCACGATACCATATTTGGCACGCATTTTATGTGATGGAAATAGTATCAAGCACTAACTAACTGACTAACTAACCTTGTTTCCACTAGTAAATGAACAATTTTTTCCACCCTTAGAACATCAAGCCTTACTGTTATTATTCTTCACATATTTATAATCCTCTCATTTCTATGTGTTTATTTTCTCATAAGTTTAAACATCATTTAAGCTCTGTAATCACTGTTATTTTTTGTTTTTCCCTTCACCATGCTATATCAACAGAACATTAGACTTAATATTCTATAACATGCTAAGATTTCCATACTGTATCGACAGTATTGCTTGAAACAAACCTACTGTTATTATTACCATTATGATAGTTATTATTCTCATTTTATACTTTGCACATTTTTGACTTTATTCCTACTGTAGATTGGGAAACATTCCTGTGGTTAACTTGATTCATATTTTGGCAACTCTAAAGAATAGCAGCCCAAACCGAAACTACATAGCGAACAGACAAATGACCTTGACAAGGACAACCTCGACCAATCAGAAGGCTCAAAAAACGGTGCATAATTGTAACAGACCGTTTTTATATAAGTAATGCAATGTTTAAAAATAGTTACAAAAAACAACGTTCTCGCATATGTTGCAAAAAGCCTCCCAATTTCTCATAGGAGTTTTGACATTCATGTTAAACCAATTCCTGCGCATAAACTCATCGAGATAACTGTATACCATTGCATTTCTTGATCCATTCACAGATCTGATACGTTTTTTTAGGTGGCTCCAGAAACTTTCGATGGAATTAGTGTGAGTTTCATCAAAAGGATTGCGAAAACCATTTGTATGATCGATCACTTGATGAATATAGCCGAGATTTGATAACTGACCGTAACTACTCCATTCATCTGTATGAATAGTCGTCCCAGGTATCACTAATCGTTAGATAATAGGTAATAATGCATTTGCACTCCGATTAGGGATCGCCTCAATATATCCTTTATGGAGGTTGGTGTCATATATCCGAATACCAATTGCTGATTCGCACTCAATCTCCAGCGATCATATTTTCTTTTTATCAAAAGTACCTAAGGAATCTGTAAATTAAAAACGAACGACACACGTTTTCGAACTGATTTTCTGGTTCGGCACTCATTTCACCAACAAAAAAACCCATCCCCAGTCGGTTAATGCACCTGGGCAAAGTGGTTAAAACGTGGGATAAATAGGTAATTTTGGTCAGCAAAAAGGTGGGCAAAAGATGGTGTAAATGCAACCGATTTTATCCACCGTTCATATTGCCCACTTTTCCCCCGTTTGCCCATGTGCGGGAAATTTTTTTTGTCCCACTTTCCCAGTTTTCCCACGTTTTCAGCCACTTATCCCATGTGCAGAAATTCAAAATATGCCCACTTTTCCTCCGTTTGCCCACTCTTTCAACGAACGGTTTAGAAAATAGCCCACTTTTTCCCACTTTACCCATGTTACAAACGAAAACAGCCCACCTTTTCCCACTTTGCCCAAATTTGAACGGAAAACTGCCCACGTTTTTACCCACATATCCTAGGTCAAAAAAATGTAACCGACCTGATCGATGCACCTATTTTATCTTTGCATATGAATGACACCTCCATATTGGCAATTTTTCGACCTTCCTATCAGTCTGTTCTCCAAACAGTAATCAAAACAATATCTGGAGTGAATTTGCAACGGAAAAGGTGTACAGCACCCATCAGGACGTCTGGATAAAACAGAGTCACCTGATTGGTTACTTAAGGTCATTTGTCCGTTTGCTAGGTAGTTCCCGTTTGGGCTGCTATTCGTTAGAGTTACCCATATTTTGAGCAAATTAGATACAGTATTGTAACAAATGTTGAAAATTCCATGCCGTCGTCTTATTCTTATGACCAGAACTACGACTTAGTTGACTATGTTCGAATACTGACTAATACTAAAGTCAGGATGACCTTGAAAATGCAGTAATTCAGTGATCTAGTAAAAGTAATAACAACCAATAGGAATCCAGTAATCCAAACAGAGGGAAAAACAAGGGGCGCACGCCAGTGCGCGATAACTCCTCAAGATAGTTAATTTAAGATTTTAGGCAAAATTATAACTACTCTTTCTGGAATAAATCAGATTTTCATATATTTATTCCCCTTAATGAATTTGAAGAAAGCAAGAACAACAGTTTTTAGCAGAATAAAATGGTACCATCATTGTTTATTTCGTTGGCTTCTCATCGGATGCTTACGGGCCAAAGTCATTATTAAATATATATCTACAGAAACAATTTTAACACACTTGCACAGAGTTCATTTTTAAACAAAAATAAACCAGTCAATGTATATGTATATGTATATAATATTAAACACTAATCCGAACAACAATAATAATTATACGCAATGGAAACTTTCGACATTACGTAATCGGATGAAAGAGAGGTGAAATAATCCAGTTACCAGGCAGGGCAAAGAAAGATTGATAACTGACTCTTTCTGGACGCATATAACAATCAGGTTTCAGGCGCTTGATGGAGATGGCTTCCAGTCCACCAATCCAGTTGTAAGCGCCAAATGTTCACACATTGATCCTTCCACTTCTTTTAGGGGAAACTCAAGTTACGTGAAGGCAGTGAATAGGATTTATCTGAGAGAGGCCCTGGGAGTATGGCCACATGACAGCATTGCTAGAGGAAGGCCAAAGCTTAGCCCCCCCACCATCCACTGCACCACGTCGTTTATAATATTCTGCACGAACTTCCACGAAACGATTACCTGATGAAGATGTATTTTAGAATGCATAGGCCACTGAGTCAGATTCCATTGGCTGAATGGTTGTCTACCATCTTACCTTGTAATCGGAAAGTCCTGGGTTCGAAACACAGTGTGTGAGTGCACCTACAGCTGATGAGTCCCAAACTACGCTGATGAAATAACTATCCAGTTATGGGGGTGTTCCCACAGTTCAATTCAGCATTAGCAACAGAATAGGATATGTCTATTTGGACATTCTATTTGATGTCATTTAATGTAAGCCAAAATCACACGCTCAGTGATTGGTTACAGAATATAAACTGTAGATACATAAAGAGCGGTTTGATCAATGGAAAATATACTTTGGCTCCCGTGTCTTGCCTTCAGCTGTTACATTCGGTGTCGCTGCCTACCGAAAAATGGAAAGTCTATACCCTGCAGTTTTTGAAGAAGACATATAGATCTTCGGGAAGGACTTCGAGGATGTTGCACAGTTGAGTGGCGTTCAAGATCCATCAGCGATGAGACTGTTACTCAGAGCGCTGCTGAGAGGTCGGACAACACAAGAATATGACAGTGTGAGGCGAAACACCGGCGAACACTAGCCAGCGTCACGCAAACTGCTTCCAAAGTGGGAAGGACCATACACGGTCACAGCGAGACGGGGCCACGTATATACCATCAGAAATGCAAACAAAGAGGGGCGAGTGAACGTCAACGAGCTCCGGAACTCGATACAGCAAGACAAACTAAGAAAACCACCAGCAACAAGAAGATCCGACCGACTTCAGTCGAAATTATTTGATGGGGGTGGGACGAGTGTGGTGGTGTGATACAGACAATGCGTGCCAATGGAATATTATTCTCACATGTTCTCACAGTTCAATTCGGCATTAGCAACAAAATACTATGTATACTTGAACATTCTATGTCATGTCGTTCAATGTACGCCGGAATCACACGCTCAGTTATGATTGGTTAACGAATATAAACTGTAGATATATAAACAGCAGTTCGATGAATGGATGAAAAATATACCTTGGCTTCCGTGTCTTGCCTTCTGTTGTTACACAGTAATATCTGCTGGTTTCCAATGTTTCTCTAAATGACATCAATCTGTAGTCAAACTTGAAGATGTATTTGTAGTGAGAGGTGTCTGCTTGACAGTAATTTACGTCAATGTTTACTCTTCCCAAATCTTGGTCATGAGAAAAAGACAAAAACCATGACTAACTTAACAACCAATCACAGCAGACTTTGCGTGGGCGGATACGATTAGCAGATATATATATATGGTCTGACCTTCAAAGAAACAGCCACAAAGAGATGACAGATTAACTTTCAGCGAGAAAACAACCAATCAGAAGACGTTGCTCCTCTGTCTGTCTGTCTGGATTCAACATAGAACTTGGCACCGAAGTGCAGCAGTTCGAGTTGTCACGTTCCACATAGCACACAAAGGTAGACAAGAAGATGAGTGAAGAGAATCAATAGAGTTTTGACAAGTATAAGAGTGAAACAGAATGAGTAATGGTAGAAAGGAATATGAAAGATTACAGAGACTGAATACATCTGCGTAAGCCATTGACAACGATTTTGAGCCATGTCACCTATTGTCTCCAGCCATTGATTCTTAGAGTCCCGAGGGTCCCAACCCGGAAGTCTGCATCTCCCTACCTGACTCAGTTTAACTGTCAGGGATTTCATGGATTGATGAGGCCATGTTTTTGTTTGGCCACCGCTTACTCTTTTCCAACCTGCACCTATATCAGCTAGTAATGCCCGTCCGTTGGGGGAGGCGATGGTTAAGCATGCGCAGCACGTCACCTAGCCATCTCAATCTATGTAACTTTATAGCCTCGTCGATTGATTTTCCCTCCTTGCCCAACACTCTACGCCTAACGTCAACATTACTTACCTTATTATACCACCTAACGCGAGAAAGAGATCGTAAACATCTGTGGTCAAAAACAGTCAACCTTTTCATGTCTTCAACTCGTATTGGCCATGTTTCAGAGCCATAGAGAAGGACGGAGCGAACTGCTGAGCAGTACACACGTCCCTTGGTTGATAGCCGGATGTCACGCCTACGCCAGAGACGGTGTAAGTTAGCGAAAGCAGCCCGAGCTTTTTGGATCCGTGCTGAGATTTCGTCACCAATCAATCCGTTGGTGCTGATACAACTTCCCAAATAGGTGAAGTGGTCAACATGTTCTATCACTTCACTCCCTATCACTAAGGTAGGAGTTGACGTAGTCCAGTCCTGTAGCAGCATCTTACATTTCACAGGGGCGAATCGCATGCCAAACATACGAAGATTGCTGCTCAAGGTGTTCAGAAGATTCTGCATTTTGTCAGCGTCCTCCCCTAACAGGACTATGTCGTCTGCATATTCTAAGTCCATAAGACTATTCCCTGGTAACAAGTCGATTCCTAAGTCGTTAAGTTCAGTTAAGGATACTTCCATTAGCATATCTATGGTGAGGTTAAACAGAAATGGGGGAAGTGAACATCCCTGACGGACACCACTGGTTGCTATCAACTCAGATAACAATTCCCCATAAGCCCTTACATGGCTACGTGAGTTTGAGTAGAGTGCGTTGATTAGTGCAATGTACTTTCTTGGCACTCCCTTCACAGTCAAACATTGCCATAGTACCTTTCGATTCACGGAGTTGAAGGCCGCCTTCAAGTCAAGAAATATGGCAATTGTTGGACGCCGAAAAGTGTGTCTACGTTCTAGGATCTGTCGGAGAGTGAAGCTATGATCTATACACCCTCTACCTGGCCTAAAGCCCGCTTAATTTTCCCTCGTTTGTTCCTCCCGAGTTCTGCTTAGTCTGTACATGATTACTGCTAACAATAACGCTAATAATAATGCAAATAAAAATCTATAAATATCTGTTGATTTCCTCAATAAACGATCTGTTGCCTGGCTGGCCATTGTCTTTTGTCGTTACATATTTAGTTTTAATAGAGAAAAAAATTTAATGACAATAATAATAATAATAATTCAACTTACAGATTGAAAAGGAAATGGACAATCAGCAGTATACAGGACAGATTCTTTCACAGCATTTAACCATTCGCCATAAGCATTTGAATATGCCAAGCTAATATGTACTTGATTTGATAAAAAGAAGACAGGCGAACGTGCAACTCGACTAGACGATGAAGATCCACCGGTACAACTTATTGGTGTCTGTGTTGTTATCGTTGATGAACAGCTATTAGCATTATTAGTATTATTATTACTACTATTATTACGATAACTGACTGACAAATCTATCTCTGATGATGCTGATGTAACAGTCTTATGATGTGATGATTGACCATTCCCCAGTGTTGTTGCAGTTGATGTTCCTGTTCCTGTCGTTGTTGTTGTAGTTGACTGTATATTCGCAGTCCCATTGTTGGTACATTTATTATTCACTACTGTCTGATGATCATGTGGGAATAAGGGTAAGATGTTACCATTGAAATTCTCTTTAGCATGTAAAGCTGTCTCCAGTAGATCAAAGATTACACCGCATGGATTTGTTGGAACGAGAACATTTCCACCACGTGCTAAAGTTTGTACTGTGTTGATGAAGGCGCGGAGCGGAGGGGGAGGGGCGGTCGGTAGGTAGAGGGAAAGGATAAAGAAAAAAACGGCAAAAGTTATCGCAGGAAAACTTCACTAGAAGATTTGTTGGGAAGTGACTGTCATCAGAGGGAATCAAAACAAGTGATTCAGCAAAGAGACTCTTTTTAACGAATTTATTATTTAATATTTTGATTATAGCTTGATTCCACACCGTAATTTTGGTACCAGTATGGAAGTTTTCAGCGTGTGATACCGGTAGCCCAAATTTTGCTGGCAGACCATTGATATCAGGTGTGCGCCGACAGGGGATCGAACCCCGGAACATGGGCATGGTCGGCGAGAGTCCTAACCACTGTACCACCGACGCACAAGCTGTACAATCACGTATATATATATATGTAGTTTAAAAAAATTAAATCCAGTGAGGGAATTGAATCAAAGGTGTGGGTGAATACATAAAATAATAATAGTATTAGTATGAAATGCAATTGAAATTAAAATGTTTGTGATTATTATCATATTCAAGTTTCAAGTGGCAAAACAATTAATGTTATATATAGATTAATGCATAGTATGTATAGATGTTGGAAATAGGCAAATAGAATACAACTAAAGAAGTCACGTAAGCTGGTGTGAAATTTGATTAAAGAAATAGAATTTAAGGTTTTATAAAGGAGAGAAATGGTTCCCCCACCCACCCCGCACAGCTCAGTTCTGAACATCAAGCAAACCCACCAAAAAACAACTTCAAAGTTATCTACAGAATACATGGGAATCTTCTTCAAACCACACAAAAGCAATGAAAATTCATTCACATGTTAAATCCTCAAATCTGCATTCACTTATTAAACCTACAGTGGACTTGATGCACCTTATCACTAAATACGTAATTTTTGTTCCATAATTGTATAATATTTTCTTCCCTTCATAATAATAATAATTTGCTTTATTCCATAAACAGTACTTGTGACACAGAATGGAATTCTCAGCATTTTTACTACATTACTGCATCTAGTTAGTACATTATCAATATATAGAATTCTACATAGATTAAGGGTAGCCTCAGTTCATTATTACAACAACGTCGGTAGCAAAGCCAAAGTTGAAACAGTGTTTGAAGGTATTAGAAAAGTAGGTGCTATCATATATACTGGCGTAAGCGGGAGAAAGAAACAAAGCAGCACATAACGGAAAAAAAGAGAGAGAAAAGGAAAAAGAAAGAGAGAAAATGTTGTACCTATAAATGATGAGTTGGAAAGACGAGATCCAGTTGTTCTACTGACTATTTAATAAGTTATAGGTATCATGCCTAATGCTTTCTTTATCGCAAAGAACATGAGCTAAGTAGGGTTTGGTTGAGTTTTTGTACTTGCTAGTGCGAGCATATATTTTTCTATATAGGCTTCTGGTTTTACCTGATGAGATGCAAGGGGAGAGTTGTGAGTGAAGAGGGTGGTGTGAGTTAGATAAAATGAACTTGGCCCATTTCTCACATGAGTCCATGTGCCTGTCGACCAGAATATTAACAAGCTGGTTAAGTGGCACGTTGCTTACCCTGCTGACAACCTTTAACATCCTGCGTAATAAGGTATAGTATTTCTTCAGTAGCCCGGGAAAGACTAAGGGGGAACAATAGAGAATAATAGGCAGAATGCGAGAGTTAACGAATTGTAGCAGTTAGGGTTGGGTTATACCAGAATGTTTTAACTTCTTAATGTAGAAGGTGAGACGGAATACTTTCTTAGAAATTGCTAAGATATGAGACGACCAGGAAAGATCAGCAGATAGAATGACGCTTAGGTATTTAATTTCCGACTTGGTTTCTATTTCAGTGCCATCTATGTTGCACACCTCGTGACAGCTAACCAGTTTGTTTAGGTCGGATTTATGCTTCAAGGTGAAATTGACTGTTTGGCATTTGGAGGGGTTTAAGGTAAGACCGTTTTCCTTGGACCACTGGCTGATTTCTGACAGAAAGCCACTAAGTTTAGAGCAGTCACTTTGATATTTGACAGGCAAAGATACTGTCAGATCGTCAGCATATTTGACAAAATTAATGTCATTTGAAGGTGGTAAGTCATGTAGAAAGAAAGAAAAGAGAAGTGGGGAGAGTACAGAACCTTGGGGGACACCATAGCTTGTTAAATCTCTACCCCTTATTTCCACTGTTGTTGACTTGACTTTTCTTCGATATTAATTTTAGTTGAGCTCTCTACTCAACCCTGTCAGCTAGACTAGAGTCACTCGACTTGCTTATTTAATCCCATTAACGAAATCTGTTATCTAAAATTTACAACCCTAATGATACAATCTTTGGAAAAATTCCTTTTGTTGCTAAGACAATATGCGATTATACAGCTTGAGAATGACATCAGCACAAAAAGAGTAGCTCTTTGCTGAACACGTCTTTTCTGTTACATGACTCAATGAAAATTGGGAGTAATATTGATAAAATTACTGATCAAAATATAAGTTCATAAGTAACCATCGAGTCTACGCATCGAGAAAACGAAAAAGACAAATTCAGCCAAGAAAATTTTCTTTATCGATGATGATTTCGTTGATAAAGAAAGTTAGAAAGTGTTTAAGGCGTTTACAATGGGGTGTTACATACCAAGGGAACTTTCTAAACCTTAGGGAGGACGCTTCATGATAGAACTGGAATTTATGATCCTGACGAAACAGACAAACTCATTCATGGATAAACACCCTATCCATTTAGTTTTCAGCAGTTTTATGAACGAGTTCAGATCACGGATTGATACCATTTAGAGAAGCATTGAAAACCAGCTGGGAGTACTGGAGAGAGAGCTGTTTCATCCTAGTTTGGGAATCATTGGGAATATGCACCCAGCACCAGGGTTTGAACCCAAGACCTTCCGGTTACAAGGCAGGCTAGCTCGTATACCATTCAACCACTGGGATCCGATTCAGTGGCTCATAAATTCTAACTTCTACCAATTCGTGATTTAGCTTGACCCCAAGCAATGTCATTAGTGGGCTCAGAGTACACAACTAAATCAAAAACATCATCTTACATTTGACAAGAGGAGCGAATCGTATACGAAACATTCGAATATTGCTGCCTCTCAAGGTGTTCAGAAGACTCTGCTCTATTTTGTCAGCGTCTTCATCTAGGAGGGAGGACTATATTAACTGTATATTCTAAGTCAATGAGATTATCCACTGATGGTGACGATCCTGAGTCGTTGAAGTCAGCTGGAGTTAACTCCATTAGTACAACTATGATGAAATTAAACAGAAATGGGGAGATAGTGAGCATCACTGACGGACACCACTGGTTGTCACCACTTCAGATGACAACTCTCCGTAGTCTCTCACACGACTGGCTGCATGAGTTCAAGTAGAGTGCCTTGATTAGCGCAATGTATTTTTTCGGCATTCCCTTCAAAGCCAAACATCGCCATAGTAACCCTCAGTCGACGGAATCGAATACCGCTTTCAGGTCAAGAAATATGGTGATTGTTGGACGCCGACGGTAAGTATGCCTATGTTCCAGAATCAGTATGTATTACACTATTTTATTCAGAGAAGATAATTACGAAATAAACTTACCAACTATATGACGAAATTCTTCGACAGTCTTTTCTAATTGATTACTAGCGTACATATTCACTGTACCAACAATTAGGATATCAGTATCTCCGAATTCACTATCATCGAAAGGCTGTAACAGCAAAGGAAGATGAAAAAAGCAAAAAATTAAAAAGTTTTGTATTCTCCCACTTAGTGACTCTCATAAACAACTGAATGGCTTGATCTCTGATGACACATTAGCTCGTAAGTACAGACGATTGGACAACTAGTATTACTATTAGTGCTGAAAATAAAAACTTGGTACATTCTGAGTACCAAAACATGCTGTTACAAGATTGGCAGGGGCTTGTACCTACCTGCAGGTGAACCGCTTGAACGTGTTGATAAGTTTGTGTATCTAGGTAGTTGTGTGAGAACTGGCGCAGGGATGGTGACGGATGAGATTTGCAACCGTATCATGAAAGCTAGGGTGGCATACATTAACTTTAGCCACCTCTGGAGCCATCACGACGTTAGCCTGGCAGACAAAGGCCGGGTATGCAATGTTTCGGTGCGGGCTGTCTTGCTCTACGTCTGTGAAACCTGGCCTCTCCGAACTGAGGATGTGCGGTGGCTCTGCGTATTCAATCATCGCTGTCTCCGCAGGATTGCTTGCGTTCGATGGCATCATCGCGTGAGTTATTCTGAGGTTCGGCGGCGTGTATGTTTGTACACAGTGGAGATCACCATTCATTGAGTGTCGTCATCTGGAAACACCAGCTTTAGTGGCTTGGGCATGTGCTGAGAATGTCATCCCACAGACTTACGTACAGGTCTGTTCACTAGCCTTGGGATGGGACAGCGAAAGCGGAGAGGTAGTCAGCCAGCGACACGGCGTCATGGGGTGAAGGATATTTATGTTAAGTTAGCATCGGTTGGTGAGTTACGACTCCCTGGTTGGAGTCCAAGAGAGAGCTCGAATCAATGGCTAGGAACGTTATCGGATATGGCCAAGTATCACAATGACCGATGGTGAACGTGCTGTCACTTTCTTCTTTCTTCCCTTCTCGACGATAATTGACGAGTGTTGTTTGAATTTGTTAAATATGACTGTTTTCCTTCTAGATGAAGTTCTTTAACCGTTCTCTACCCATATTTTTACGTTTTATCTCACAAGTTGTGTGACGCATCTTCTTGGTGCCATATTGTACCAAGCTTTTCGTGTTTAAATAAAGATATGCGTGCCATCCAAAATAGTCTCATAGTTTGCACGAATACTGCTCGGATGCTTACCTCGATTCTAGTGGTTGTCACTAGGGGCCGAACCCCAGAGCCTTTGATTTTGAAGTCTCATCCATTCGGCAGTGAAGGAGCTTCAGGGAGCTATGTTTCCCCGGTTTTTTGGTGACCGAAACACGTCTATATGTTCCTTTTGGGATTCTGAAGCCAATGTGAAGGTGAATCGGAATCCGGAACCATAAAACATCAGCCATAAAGGAGGACGGAGCGGACTGCTGCCTTTTTGTCGGCATCCGGATATCACGTCTACTAAGCCGGTCACGACGTAAACTGGCATATGCGAAACGAGCCCTCTGTATCCGTTCTGAGATTTCGTCATCGATCAACCCGTTGTAACTTCCCAAATAAATGAAGCGGTCGACGTGCTCTACCACTTCACTACCTATTTGTAAGCTAGGAGTCAATGTAATCCAGTCCTGTAGCGTCATCTTACATTTGGTGGGAGCGATTCACATGCCAAACATTCGAAGATTGCTGCTCAGCTCAAAGTGTTCAGAAGAACATTAATATATCTAATGTCACACAAACTCAAAGGAGTGCAAACGAAAACCCAACACAATAGTTAAAGCATAAAAAAACATACAATCACAATATCCAATGACAATCAGCTAGCTTACCAAAACATGAGAATACAACAATGAAGTGTGTGAAATGTAGGCCACCTGAAAAAAAAAGAAAGAAGACAAAAACAAGCTATCAACCAATCCGTCAGTAAACGCGGGGGGGGTGAGTTTATAAAATAATCTAACTGTTTCACCAGCTCATTCATTTTATAAAACCAACTGGAAAGATTTTCCCCTGGAGCTGAAGATTATTAGATGTCTTTATTCAATTTTAAGTATTGGTTTGTAGGGATTTGGTTGATTGGTTACAGGATTTCATCATGAGCTGACATTGGTTAGAGAACCATTGGAAAACCTGGGAGCACTGGACAGCTGTTTCGTCCTGGTTTGGGACTCTTCATCAGTACGCAACCACCGGTGTTCGAACCCAGGACCTTCTGGTACACACACATACCTTTAATGTTTTATTGGTTTTGAAATTCCGCTACTAAAAGTGTGCGGTGACTAGTTCAGCGCGGTCAACTAACTTGTAACTCGTAGCGAAGTCACACACACACACAGCCTACTTGATGCCACATGAATTCTGTACAGGTCAACAGATAAGTCAGACAATTTCCCTTAGAGAATACAAGACGGTTAGACTGACTGATGAAAAAACGTGAATGCCTGCCAACTAATATTATTATTGCAGGAATTCATCATGAGCCGACATTAGTTAGAGAACCATCGGAAAACTTGGGAGTACTACTAGACAGCTGTTTCGTCCTAGTTTGGGACTCTTCATCAGTACGCACCCACAACTAGGGTTCGAACCCAGGACATTCTGGTTACAAGGCTAGCGAGCTCATAAACCATCGAGCCACTAGGACCCGATGCAATGGACAGCCCATGAATTCTAACTTCTGCCAATTCACGACATAGCGCGACCCCTAGCCAATGTCTTCGGCGAGTATTTATCCTCACACCCGACAGAAATGAAGTATATAACGGTAAATGTTAGACTATTGGACCTGAATCGATCAGGTAAACTACTGACCTTCAGCCGACCAATCAGAGTGAAGCAGGCAGAGATCAGGAAGGATAAACAACAAAGAATTCAGCCAACGAACTAGTCGATAAACTATCCCTTAAAAAATATGCATAAGGAGTTGTGAGTGTGCTTTGATGGACTTATAGGGTGATAATAAAAATATAATTGAATTTTAGATTTTTTCCCCTCGACTGATTGGACCGAAGTGCTCGGTCTCAGGTTGACATGTCGGCTCCTTGAGCAGATGCTTGGACGATGTCTGGGCATTTAATTAGTATTTAATTGGTGGATGGTGACTAGCACCTCGGTACAATCAATCGACGGGAAAAATCTAAAATTCAATTAAATCAATATGACCCGTTGCACAAGAGGTGGCTCTCGTGGCCCAAGTGGTCTAGTGGATAACGCTTTGGCGTTGGAAACTATGGGCACTGGGTTCGAGCCTCGGTGGGAACATCATCACTCACTGATAAATGCAGGTACATCCAGATGATGAGTCCCAAATAGGACGAAATGCGCATTCTGGATTCCACTGCTAGTCACCATCCACCAATTAGATAATAAAAATAATTTAAAATGTTGGGGGAAAATCACTGATAACCAGGAAATGTAATGAACTGTTGATTTTGAACTCTTCAGCAATATACACCTAGATAAAAGGCCAAAAAAACATCGAGAGGCGTTGAGTTCACAACTGTCAGTATTTTGACTTCTATCAACTCGTTATTCACTACTATTATGGCTACATCTAGTGTTTTCAGTGGTGAGGATGTACCTACATACGTGTACGATTTACTGAAACTTACAGATGATTATTCATCATTAGAATTTGAAAATATTACCCCTTTCTTAACTAGGGAAGAGACAATAACGACAAACGTCTTGTTGGTCATGAAGTCATGATTTATGCACGTACTGACACGATAATCTGATTGGACAGTTTTTGATTCGTTGATTTATGGCTTAACTTTCCGAGGGATTTCAATTTAATACACAACCAATCAGATTTATTTATTTATGACTGAAATGCCTGAGGTTTTGTCGAATAAACGTTAATTTGGCTTTTGTGACAGACTACCTGATCAGTTTGGTTATAATGTTGTCATGTTCTAGAGGCGCATTCTAGTCAAATTGTGGTGTGAAAATATACAAATATGTGTTGATTTCCCTAATAAACGATCTGCTGCCTGGCCCTTGTCTTCTGTTGTTACATTTGGTGTCGCTGCCTACCGACAAATGGAAAGCCTATGCCCTGCAGTTTTTGATGGAGACATATGGATCTTCGGGCACGACTTCCAGGCTTCTGTTCACTTGAGTGGTGTTTAAGATTTGTCAGCAATGAAGCTGCTACTTGGGACGCTCCTGGGAGGTTGGGAGAAAGCAACATATGAAAGTGTGAGGCGAAATACCGACGAATGTGCGACAGGGTCAGGCAAACAGTCTCCAAAGTGGGAAGGACCACATATGGTCACGTTGAGATGGGGTTACGCAGACACAACCACAATGGTAAACAAAGAGAAACAGGCGAGCGCCGATATTCCAGACAGCAGCAAACGAACAAAGCCCCTAGAACCAAGAGGACCAAACCAACTTCAGTCGCAAATCTTTGACGGGGGCATGAGTGCGGTGAGAGCTGGCTGCTAGCCAAAGTTGGTAGACAGTAATTGACGTCAATGTTTATGTCCCCAATATTGGTCGTGAGAAAAATGCGAACAAAGACTTTGCGTAGGCGGATACAGTTAGCACAAGGATGATCTGACACATCCACAAAGAGATGTAAGGTTGACTTTCTGTGAGAAACAACCAATCAAAAGACTGTATTTTCTACTAACAATAATCTACAATAATGTATATGAAAAGCTATAAATATGTGTTGATTTCCTTAATTAACGATCTGTTGCCTGGCTCTTGTCTTTTGTTTTTACAAAATTAATCGAATTTGATAACTCACTAATACTCCATCATAATGAAAAGTGAATAAATCAATAAATCTCGAACTCACTTTTTCTGAACTTGATGTAATAATCCAATTACAACTGCCAATTGCATAACCAGCACTTAACCCTTTGATCGTCAACAGACCGAATAGATCCTAGAAATGTTTGATAATCATAATAACAATGCAATAAAATCAAAGAAGATGCAAAGTAAAATCATATTGAACAATTGTGTATTCATACATTTGACCGATTGACAGGAGTTGGTCACATCACCGACACAAACGAGACTATTTACTTACACACATAAATGATATCGACTACTTCCTGATGATCAATCAGATCAGTGTGTTCACTACAGTCCTATAGGAGGTAGACAGTAGGTTAAATATTTCAATGATCACATATCCAACTATAGCGTTGGATGATTAGGGTTCGAATCCCAAACTGAATGATTTGCTCAGTTTCCGCATGAAACTTTGCACTCTCCGACAGATCCTAGAACATAGACACACTTTTAGGCGTCCAACAATTGCCATATTTCTTGACCTGAATGCGGCCTTCGACTCCGTGAATCGAAAGGTACTATGGCAATGTTTGACTGTGAAGGGAGTGCCAAGAAAGTACATTGCACTAATCAAGGCACTCTACTCAAACTCACGTAGCCGTGTAAGGGTTTATGGGGAATTGTTATCTGAATTGATAGCAACAAGTGGAGTCCGTCAAGGATGTCCACTTTCTCCTTTTCTGTTTAACTTCATCATAGATATGCTAATGAAAGTATCCTTAACTGAACTTAATGACTTAGGAATCGACTTGTTACCAGGAAATACCAAGAAAATAGTCCTGTTAGGGGAGGATGCTGACAAAATGCAGAGTCTTCTGAACACCTTGAGCAGCAATCTTCGTATGTTTGGCATGCGATTCGCCCCTGTAAAATGTAAGATGCTGCTACAGGACTGGACTACGTCTACCCCCAGCTTAGTGATAGGGAGTGAGGTGATAGAACATGTTGACCACTTCACCTATTTGGGAAGTTGTATCAGCACCAACGGATTGATTGGTGACGAAATCACAGCACGGATCCAAAAAGCTCGGGCTGCTTACGCTAACTTACACCGTCTCTGGCGTAGGCGTGACATACGGCTATCAACCAAGGGACGAGTGCACTGCTCATCACTTCGCTCCGTCCTTCTCTACGGCTCTGAAACATGGCCAATACGAGTTGAAGACGACATGAAAAAATTGACTGGTTTTGACCATAGATGTCTACGATCTCTTCCTTACGTTAGGAGGTGGTATAATAAGGTAAGTAATGTTGACGTTAGGCGTAGAGTGTTGGGCAAAGAGGGAGAATCAATCGAAGAGGCTATAAAGTTACATAGATTGAGATGGCTAGGTCACGTGCTGCGCAAGCCTAGCCATCGCCTCCCCCGACGGGCATTACTAGCTGATATAGGTGCAGGTTGGAAAAGAGCAAGTGGTGGCCAAACAAAAACATGGCCTCATCAATCCATGAAATCCTTGACAGTTAAACTGAGTCAGGTAGGGAGATGCAGACTTCCGGGTTGGGACCCTCGGGACTCTAAGAATCAATGGCTGGAGACAGACAATAGGTGACATGGTTCAAAATCATTGTCAATGGCTTACGCAGATGTATTCAGTCTCTGTAATCTTTCATATTCCTTTCTACCATTACTCATTCTGTTTCACTCTTATACTTGTCAAAACTCTATTGATTCTCTTCACTAATCTTCCTGTCTACCTTTGTGTACTATTTGGAACGTAGCAACTCGAACTGCTGCACTTCGGTGCCAAGTTCTATGTTGAATCCAGACAGACAGACCAAAGTGCGGGAGCATTTCAAGTTGCCACACTGCCCTCATGTGCAGCACAAAAAGGTAGATAAAATTGAAAGAAAAAAGAGATTCAAAAGGACTGTAACGACCTGAAATGTGCAGGTGAATGAACAGGAACCTGGAGCGACATGAGAAATTAATAAATCTGGGAGAGCGGTTTAAAAAAAAGAGTCAACGAATCTGTGGCATTGAGGACGATTTTGGCTTAAATTATCAATACTCTGAAGACATCAATCCTTCCAAACCCGGAGATCCTTCCAACTGCATAGCGCGAACCGACAGTCGGAGACTTCATGCAATGATGTCATGTTTTGATCTCTCCACCTGTAACGTAACTCCTCCTTTCCAGCCTGGGCATCTGTCAGCTAACATCACTTGACAAGAACGGAAGTTGGTTCGGCATCCGCAACACATGCCGTAGCCATCTCAATCAGTATAGCTTTACAGCCTAAACGGCTGACTTCCCTTCTTTACCTATCCACTCTACGCCTAATCTCAATATTAATTACCATATAATATCATTCAACCCAGGAGACAGGACACAAAGACAGCTAGTCTTAATATATCTTTCACTTCTAATGGCAATTTCTCATAATCATAAAGGGGGATAGAGGTGCAACGACAGAAGACAAGGGACAGGCAACAGATCGTTTACTGAGAAAATCAACAGATATTTATAGATTTTTATGTATATTATTATTAGCGATTGTTAGCAGAGAAGCAACGTCTTCCGATTGGTTGTTCTCCTGCTAAAGGTCATTCTGTACTGCTTGCGACCGTTTCTTAGAAATTTAAGCCATATATCTGCGAATCATATTTGCACACGTTAAGTCTGCCGTGGTTGGTATTTGTATTTGTATTTCTACTAAGATTTCATCAGCAATCAGTCCATTAGGTTTGGACGACATACACTGTAGTGACTAGTACCACAACAAGTGTCAAATCTATGTCTACAGCTTCCTGTACCGATTACCTCCAATCACTTACGGTCAATACTCAGAATTTAAAAACAAAGCAATAGTGAAGCAATGTACTTGTAGAGGAAAACGTGTTCATCGTTTGTTTTTATGTACCACAGGTAAAACATCCTGTAAAAGGGGATAGTTTTGAATTTTGTCGAAAGAATGGAAGATTTAAATGTGACTGATAAGGTCACGATATCGTTTGATACATGTTCTTTGTTCATTAATGTACCGTTAATTGAAACGATGGATTTCATAATGTGACGAAATTGTTAAGCGAAGCATCGACATAGGTATTTCTGTACCCTCCACGGAGGAACTTATTTTAAGATGTACAATATATACGTTGATTTCTGGTTCAACAAGGAATACTATAGACAAACTGATGGTGTGGTTATAGGTTCCCCATTAAGTCTAATCTTAGCCGAGCTTTTCCCCGCTAAGCCAGGAAATGAACCACTGGAAGGATTAATCAGTGAGAGCTGGAATTAATTCTACTGTCGATATATGGATGATACATTTTTGATTATGAAAATAATAAGAATGAAGCAACGAAAATCGTGGACAAGTTCAAAGATAGACATTCAGAGGTTAACATTATCATGTATGAAGAAAGGAATGATTGTGCAACAATAGAAGACGAAGACATGGTAAAGGAATGTTTATCTGATAATCGGTATCTCTATATAGCCAAATGATGTACACCTTATCCTCAAGGCATCATTCGCACAGATCTTCCGTGTTGTGCCTGCTACTTCTGCTGTTCCTTCATATTGTGTTTCTTTATGCTCCTTTCACGTTGTCTCCCATGTCTCCCATCACATTCTCTGACATCAAATCTATCTCCCTGCTATTTTATATTTTTTATGCCCATGAACATCTTTACATATATATACTACTGACAAATCTGGACTTCGCCGATGACATATGTATGTCTGATTTCCCACAAATTGGAAGATATGCAACTGGTGAAAAGCAACAAATTGGCAGAAGAAGCATCAAAGATAGGACTTCAGCTGAACATAGAGAAAACAGAGGTGATGAAGATGTCTGGACAACAACAACAGAAAACGATCAGCACAAATGGGAGGAACCTGAAAGAAACAACCTGTTTAACCTACCTGGAAAGCATCGTTTCAACTACAGGTGGATGGAACTGATGAAGATATCAAAGCAAGAAGCGGGAAAGCAAGACAAGCTTTTACTACTCTCAAGTCTGTGTGGAGGTCAACAGCACTCAGCATCAAAAATAAGATCCGGATTTTCAACTCCAATGTGAGTGAAGTCAGTGCTACTCTACACGGATCAGAGACTTGCACTGTGCGTCATAAAGAGCATCTCAAGCAAACTACAGACCTTCATTAACAGTTGTCCTCGCTCAATACTCAAGATCAGATGGCCGGCCAGAAAAGATCAGCAACAGAGAGATATCTCTGGCAGTGAGCGAACCAACACAGCAGGAACCGATTGTGAAACAAATAGGCAGGAAGAAATGGAGGTGGATTGGCTGGCCATACTCTGAGGAAACCATCAAGTGACATCACTAGACAAGCCATTGCTCGAGTGGAACCCGAATGCAGTGGGAAGCGGCGAGTTGGTCGTCAATGCGAGGGCGGGGTGACTTGGAGGAGGTCATGTGAAGAGGAGATGAAAACGTGTGGGCAGACATGGAGCCAGGTGAAGACTCTAGCAGAGAACCGAACGCAATGGAGACGCACGGCTGAAGCCCTATGTTCCTCTAGGAATTAAAGGAAACAATAATAATAATAAATAATACTGAGAAATCTTATCAGTAGCACATGGCACAACAGTATATCATTCATACGCGTCTTTTTTTTACCAGGAAAAAGGATGGTACATAGAAAACCTACAACGACGGGTTGTGGTGAAAGCTGTCTGCAAGCCAAAATTTGTAGACAATAGTAGGCGTTACTGTTCACGTCCCGAATCGGGGTCATGAGGAAAAAGCCAATAAAAAAGCTTAACCTTGAGAAAATCACCAGCCAATCACAGCGGAGTTAAAGTGTGCAAATACGATTCGCAGATATATATAGACTGACTTTCTGAGAAACGGCCACAAAGAGATAACAGAATAACCTTCACCAACAAAACAACCAATCAGAAGAGGTTGCTTCTCTGGTAACAACAACGTTAATAATGATGCACATAAAAATCTATAAATATCTGTTGGTTTTCTCAATAAACGATCTGTTGTATGGCCCTTGTCTCCTGTTGTTACAAGGTTACTACACCCATGTTTTTGAGCTGCGCATTTTTGAAATACAATCGCAACTTGGTAAAGTGTTTGGTTCATAGACGCAGAGGAATCTGCTCGAACGTTTGCCTTAATAGGGGGAGGGAGCTTAGGATTATCATTAAAAATGGTTACCCAGATAAGTTCATTGTGATAAAAATATTAATTTTACGCCAAGGCAAGTCAGTATGGCAACAACTCCAAGAAAGTTTCTGTTCATAAACCTGTAGTTTCTTGGTGAAGAGGTACGTTATCTGATTTGCCGTCCGAGATATAAGGATGAACTACCTAACTTCACCAACTCTATGCGTATCTACTAGTTTAACTGTTCCTGAGGAGATAGTTACAATGGGAGTAGAGTTAAGCAGGTTTATCACCGGATTTCTGAACACCATCCCACATGGCTAAGCAAGGTGAAAACAAGATCTATTCTGGTACTGTTAGACTTATTCACGTGAAGATTCAACGCTCATCATAAGGTGATCGCAGATAATTAGTGTTGATTCTGTAATAATTCAGGGCAAAAACAGAGGGGGTGGGATCTTTCAACCCAGCCAAGATGTGGCTTAGACGATGTATCCAGGGTTCGAATCTCTCATTCCCCTTACTTTAATTTGCCTGTCTGTTTTCGACATAGAACTTTGCACATATGTGCGGCAGTTCAAGTCACCACATCCCCTCCATGTAGCACACAAAGTAAGAGAAGAAAGTAGGAGAAATGCATAATATAGACAGTAAACAGAGGTATGGGACAAAGGAATAGTATTAACGAAGAACAAAACAGTTTCATTGGAAATCATAAGTCACAAGGAGTGGATGCATCTGCACTAGCCATTGAGAACGATTTTGAGCCATGTCACCAATCGTTTCCAACCATTGGTTTTTACTGTCCCGAGGACCCCAACCAGTCAGAAAGTCTACATCTTCCTACGTGGCTTAGACTAACTGTTGTAGATTTCATTGACTGGTGCCATGTTTTGGTTTGACCACGATGTGCTAGCTCTTTTCCAGCCTGGCCCTATATCATCTAACATTGCCCGTAGAGGAAGGCGATGACTAGACATACGTAACACATGTCCTGACCATCTCAGTCAATGTAACTTCAAAGCCTCGTCGATTGATTTCCCCTCCTTACCTAGCATTCGACAGATGCCAAACTTCAATACTGCTCACATTATTATACCACTTCACACGGGAGATAGAACGCAGACACCTATGATCGAAGACAGCTAATGTTTTCATGTCTTCCACTCTCAATGGCCAGGTCTCACAGCCTTAAAGGAGCACGGAGCGGACTGATGAGCAGTACACGCGCCCTTCGGTCGATAGTCGGATATCACGTCTACGCCAGAGACGGCGTAAACTGGAATATGCAAGACTAGCCCTCTGTATCCTCTTGGGTAACTACATAGTAGCATCAACCAGCATGCAATAACTGTATAGGCTACAACCTGGTACAATGGTAGCATTCGTTCCAGAAAACCAAGTTCCGACATACAAACCAAATGAATTTTTTTTTCAGATAGGTACAATTAGTCTATCCAAATAAGTGAATAGCACTCAGGTGAGTTGACAACAACATAAACAAGAAAAAAAACAACCTAATTTTATGGATTAAATTAACTCAGGTTCACTGATGATTAGCTCAATGACCACAGTTGGCAATCTCGATATTATTATTATTATTTCTAATATTCCCTTGAATTCCGAGTGGAAAATAGGGCTTCAACATCACGTCTTCACTTTATTCTGCTCTCTACAGTCCTCGATGTCATCCATGGACCACGGCCCAACTTGTCGTTTCCCATTCAACTTCCATCCTAAAGCTTGGCACACGATGTCGCTCCTCAGCATGTGTCTAGTCCATTCATTTCTATTTTCTTCTGCATAATTTTCGGGCAATAGGTGCTTGGTTTGTTCGTTCCCAGAGTTCTCTTGATGCCTGTCCTTTCAGCGTGATGTGCCGAGTTTCCAACACAATATAGAAGCACTAACTGGCTTGACATTAGTTTTGCAAACTCTGAATTTCTTTTCCCTTATATTAAGTGCATCAGATTTCCACACCACTGATTATAAAAAAAGTTACACTCATTGTACGAGGGCTAATGATGGCCACCACCTTACTAATTGCTCAAACGTCAATCGAATCTATGTGTGACCAACCAGTAGTTGGCAATTGACGCAGCCTAGACCGGTGAGTGCCCGTTAGCCTCACCACGGCCTATAACTACTACTCAAATTAGCTGTCAGCAGTAGTATATATTAATTAACAAAAATAATCATGAAGATATAATAATTTCTCTGGAGAGAGAGAGGGAGGGAGGGAAGGAGGGAGAAAGAGACAATAATGACTTACCACAGGTTCATGATAAGCAATTAGATGAACTCTATTCAAAGCTTTTGTTACTGATTCACGAGTATAAAATTTTGTCCAGTTGTAATCACCAGAATTTACGAGATAATCAGTTGCATCATTAAATTCACTGGTATAGAAAAGAAAATGAAAAACTGTGAAGACAACTCAGTTAAATATATATATATATATGTATATAATTCTCTTGGGTTCCGAGTGCAACATAGGGCTTCAGCAACACATCTCCACTTTGTTCTATTTCCTGCTATCCACTTTAGCTGAGCCCACGACTACCCACAGTGTCTCATCTCCTCTCCTAATGATCTCCGTGTCATTCTCCGAGGCCTCACTCATCGTTTACCATTCATGTTCCACTCGAGTGAAAGCCTGGCGCGCGATGTTATCCAACTCCATTTTCTCCTACATATTTGTTGAGCAATCGGTTCTTGGTTATAGGATTTCATCATGAGCTGACATCAGTTAGAGAACCATTGGAAAACCTGGGAGTACTACTAGACAGCTATTTCGTCCTAGTTTGGGACTCTTCATCGGTACGCACCCACAATCAGGGTTTGAACCCACGACCTTCTGGTTACAAGGTTAGAGAGCTCATAGACCATTGAGCCACTAGGACCCGATCCAATGGCCGATGAATTCTAACTTTTGTCAATTCACGACATAGCGCGACCACTAGCCAATGTCTTCAGCGATTATTTGTCCTCACACCCGACCTGTTGCAATATGTTGTGAATTGGCAGAACTTAGAATTCAAGGGCTGTCCGTTGGATCGAGTCCCAGTGGCTTAATGGTTTGCGAGCTCGCCTTGTAACCAGAAGGTCCTAGCTTTGAACCCTACCTGTGGGTGCGTAGTGCTGAAGAGTCCCAAACTAGGACGAAACAGCTGCCCAGTACCCCCAGGTTTTCCAATGGTTCTCTAATCAATATCAGCTCATGATGAAATCCTGTAACCAATTAAATCCCTATAAACCAACACTTGAATATCGGTTCTTGGTTAGTTTGTCCTCATAGTTTCTTTTTGCTTATACTTTCTGGTCATTTTATCTCCACTATTGAACCAGCGAAGCTGGCAACTGTTGACAAAAGTCTGCAGTGGCATGTTGGAAATGCTTTTCGTGACATGTTCACTAAGTTTCTGACTCGTATACAAGAACTGACTGGCTGACTTTACATTTGTGTTGAAAATCCAAATCTTGTGACAGACTCGTTTGAGGTTAATAAAGGTGTATCTAGCCTTTCCGATTCTAACTTTTACATCTTCAACCGTTCCGGATGTAATTGAAACGATGCCTCCTAGATAAGTAAGGAGATTAACCTCTTTCAAGTCTCTCCCATTGATAGTGATTTGTACTGATTGCTGTTGGTTGATTATGTTCATCGCCTCCGTGTTAATCTGGAGTCCTGTCTTCGCTTCCACTCTCTTAGGCTAGTGTTTTGGTTTTCACCTGTAGGTCTACGGGTTTGTGAGACATTAGACATAAATTATCTACACGCGAAATCCAAATCCTCTAGTCTCCTTATTGGTCTAGTGTATTCCCGTCTTCTCGCTCCCCCCCCCCCACCTACGATGTGCCACCAGAATAAGTAATATCATCGTTGGTAATAGTAGGCAGACAGCCTTGTCTTACTCCTGTATTTATTTCAAAGGCTTCGCTGAGTTTTCCCTTGTGGATCACCTGACATTGTCATATAGCTGTTGAATGGAGTTCATAAAGTTCTGGGGCACTGTATGCCATAGTGTTGGAGTATTTTCCAAATTACTTCGCAGTCATTGCTGTTAAAGGCTTTTTCAAATTCAATGAAATTAGGCTAGAGGTTTGACTGCCATTCTATGCTTTGTTCGATGGTGTAGAATCCAGCTTCTTGCCATCAGAGTTATATATATATATATATTCTGAGTTACAACAAGGGACATCGCATAGTAGAGCAACACTCTAAGCTGCCACGCTCCAACGTAGCACACAAACGAAGCCAAAAAAGAAATTCTAAAGGACTATAATCCGCAGATATGTAGAGGAGAAAGAACATTAACATTGAAAAACATCAGGGTTTAACAGATTTGGAAGACTACAAAGAGGGGCGAGTGCTTTGAGCCATATCACAGCAACAATTTTCCCCAGGCAGTGGCTCACAGTATCGCCCACTGTCCCCATTTCTCTTTAATTTCATCATAGATGTACTAACAGACTTAACCCTAACTGACTTCACCGACTCAGCGATTGACTTGTGACCATCAGGGAATAATCTCGTTATCTTAGAATATGCAGTTGATATAGTCCTCCCTCCTAGGTGAAGACACTGACAAAATAGAACAGAGTCTTCTGCACACAATATGATGAGGAACAATCTTCGAATGTTTGGCGTGCGATTCGCTCCTGCAGTCGAAAGTAGGATGATGTTTGCTGCAGGATTGGACTGGACTACATTGACTCCTGGCTTAAAGATAGGCAAGAGTGAAGTGGCTGGTGGAGAGTGTTGTCCAGTTCACTTATTTGGGGAGATACTACAGCCAACGCCAACAGGTTGATCGCTGACGAAATCTCAGCACGGATACAGAAGGCTCGTTTGTCATTTACCTGCCAACTTATGCCATCTCTGGCTTAGTGGATGTAATATCCTGCTGTATGTCGATCAAAGGACCTGTGTCCTGCTCAGCAGCACTTCGCTCCGTCTTTCCGTAACATTGTGAGTGAGAAATAACCATTGAAAGTGGAAGAAATGAAAAGGCAGGCTAGCTGTATTGCATCATACGTGTCTGCGTTGTATCTCCCGTGTTACGTGGTGGTATAATAAGATGAGGAATATTGAGGTTAGACATCGGTTGAGTGCTAGGTAAGGAGGGGAAATCAATCGACGAAGTTGTGAAGCAGTTGAGTCGATTGAGATGGTTAGGACATGTGTTATGCATACATGCCTAGCCATCGCCTTCCTCGACACTGGGTAATGTTAGCTGACTGACATAGGATGGATCAGGTTGGAAAAGAGTTAGCAGGCGTTGGTCAAACGAAAACATGGCTTCATCAGCCAATGAAATCCATAGCAGTTAGTTTAAGCTGGCCAAGTAGAAAGGGGTAGACTGCCAGACTGACTCGTTGAGGTCCTCGGGATGGTAAAAACCAATGAAGACTGGAGACAATTGGTGATATGGTTCAAAATCATTCTCAGTGATGGCACAGATGCATTCACTCCTCGTGATTTATAATATCCAATAAAACTGTACTGTTCTTCCATATTACTATTCTTTTAGCCTCATATTTCTGATTGTTATATATATATATATATATATATATATATATATATATATATACGGGGTGCCACCAACAATTATACATCTCATCCAACAGTTGTACGACAATGCTGCATGCCAAGTAATCCACAACGGGAAACTTACGGAATCCTTCGAAGTGAGGACAGGAGTAAGACAAGCTGGCTGCCTACTATCGCCAATGATTTTCCTGATTGCAGTAGACTGGATAATGCGACAAACAGCGGCCAGCGAGGAAACAGGCACAAAATGGACTCACACAAAAACTTGGAGGATCTGGACTTCGCCGATGACATATGTCTGATTTCCCACAAACTGGAAGATATGCAAGCGAAAAGCAACAAGTTTGCAGAAGAAGCATCAAAGATAGGACATTAGGTGCACATAGAGAAAACAGAGGTGATGAAGATTGCTGGCCAACACCACCAACAGCAACAACAACAACAGACAACAATCAGCATAAATGGGAGGAACCTGAAAGAAACAACTTCCTCTACCTACCTACCTGGGAAGCGTCGTTTCAACTACAGGCGGAACTGGTGAGGATATCAAAGCAAGAATCGGAAAAGCAAGGCAAGCTTTCATTACTCTCAAGTCTGTGTGGAAGTCAACAGCACTCAGCATCAAAAATAAGATCCGGATTTTCAACTCCAATGTGAAGTCAGTGCTACTCTACACGGATCAGATACTTGCACTATGCGTCATAAAGAGCATCTCAAACAAACTACAGACGTTCATTAACAGTTGTCCTCGCTCAATACTCAAGATCAGATGGCCGGCCAGAAAAGATCAGCAACAAAGAGATATCTCTGGCAGTGAGCGAACCAACACAGCAGGAACCCATTGTGAAAGAAATAGGCAGGAAGAAATGGAGGTGGATTGGCCATACTCTGAGGAAACCATCAAATGACATCACTAGACAAGCCATTGCTCGAGTGGAACCCGAAAGGGAAGCGGTGAGTTGGTCGTCAGTGCAAGAGTGACTTGGAGGAGGTCATGTGAAGAGGAGATCAAAACGTGTGGGCAGACTTGGAGCCAGGTGAAGACTCTAGCAGAGTACCGAACGCAATGGAGACTCATGGCTGAAGCCCTATGTTCCTCTAGGAATTAAAGGATACAATAATATATATATATATATATATTTCTGTTATGAATCTCTCTTTACTCTCTTTTCTTGCTCTGTGTGCTCCATGGAGGGAGAGTGTCAACTCGAACTGCTGCACATCTGTGCAAACTGCTACGATGAAACCAGTCAGTCACATACATCACAAGAAGAATAAAGCCAATATCATGAATAACTAATAAAAACAACACGAAAAATGAAGAGAATATCATACTTTATCTTTGTTTTCTTCTTCTTCTTAGATGAATTCAATTCAACTTGAGATTCACTCAATTGTTCAAGTTCATTTAATAAGTCATCTATTAATATTCTACAAAATAATTAAGAATATTATAAAACAAAGAAATAATAATACTATGCATACTTTCCAAATTTTACAACTGGTTCAGTAGTAAATATTTTCCCGCGAAATTTTGTATTTTCAAATAAAAATGGTAAGCCTAATATACTTCGTGTATTCGATATAAGTATAACATCAATTGTTTCCCAAAATATTGATGACATCTATAAAAAATAATCCGTTAATTACAATAATTTTACACTAGAAATTTACAAATTAAAAAAAAACAACCTCTGAAGATTTTAACATGCAAAATTTGAATCCTGTAGTCATGTAGTTCATGCCGCCTAACTTGGTAAACTGAAAGAAAGAAAGGCGTATTTCATTATGAAAGAGAGATAGAGGAACTAACCACGCCACTATCGTCTTCTTCTTCTCCTTCTGCTCCGTCGTTTTCACCTCTTACTTCTTTAGTATCACTGTTGCCCAAAGTACCACACATCTCTGGAAGATCTGAACAACCAGGACTAAACAAAAGATTCTATGAGAGAAAACGCTCCAAAAAACAAAACTCACCTCATTAACTGATGATTTGGTAGAAAATAGGATAAATTCGACAGATCTAAACAGCAATCCAATAAAAGATTTACATCATGTATGTGTAGAAGATAACATGGATTGTGAACATCAGTATTTAATCGACGCTAAAAATAGAGACAAAGGGTAAAATAAATAAATAAATGATTGACTTACAAGGCGGAGTTTACTCTCATCAGGATTTAACATGATATAACAGTCTGTAGAGTGTTTGTATTTCTGTTTATCCAAGACTGATTGACTTTGTTAAGAGATAGAGTGGACGATTTCAGAAAGTTTCGAGTGCATTGAACCTACAAACAGAAGAAAAGAATTAGAAACATCAATACTGGTACAAAACGGTCCAATATCAACAATGTTATATGCTTAGGGATGTGGAGACATGACTCATTGGCTTAAGCACGAAAACTTTGGGCCAGTGAACTCTGGGTTCGAATCCCTACATCTCCACCTATGTGACAGTCTAGGCGATTGAACAGGATCATAAGCCTTCATACAATAATAGTACATGTAGATCATATATAGTCTGGAACATGAAAAGTCTCTCCTGGGAAGTGAGTTTAAACAACATATGCTTACAGATCGCCTGTCTTGTTGACTAAGAATATGTGGATGATATAGTCCTTATGAATGAAGACGCTGATAAATTGCTGGGTCTTCTGAACACTGAGAAGAACTCTTTGGATGTTTGACATGAGATTCGCTCTTGTCAAATACAAGATAATGGTTGCTACAGGACTGGACTATATCGACTCCTAGCTTGAAAATACGCAGTAAAGTGATGGTAGAGCGTGTGGACCATTTCACTTATTTAGGAAGTTGTATCACCCCCAAAAGGCTAATTGCTGATAAGATTTCAGTGCGAATACAAGTCTCGTGTGGTATTTGCCAACTTACACTACCTCTTATGTAGACATGATATCCGGCTGTATATCAGTTAAAGGACATGTTCTGCTCAGAGGTTTGCTCAATGGTCCTTTATGATTGTGAGACATGGCCAATGAAAATGAAAGATATGAAAAGGCAAGCTGTCTTTGATCTTAAGTGTCTGCATTCTATCTCCAGTGTCAGGTGGTATAACAAAGTAACGTTGAGGTTAGGCATCGGTCGAGTGCTAGGTAAGGAAGGGAAATCAATCGACGAGGTTGTGAAGTTACATCGATTCAGATGGTTAGGACATGTGTTACGCATACCTAACCATCACCTTCCTCAAAGGCCAATGCTAACTGACATACGATCGGTGAGGTTGGAAAAGAACTAGTGGTGGTCAGAGCAAAACATGGCATCACTTAATGAAATGCATAACAGTTAGTTTCAGCCAGCCAGCTAAGTAGGGAGGTGTAGACTTCCTGACTGGTTTGGGTCCTCGAGATGGTAAGAACCAATGGCTGTAGACATTTGGTTATATGGATCAAAATCGTTCTCAATGGGCTGCACAGATGAATTCACTCTGTGTCATCTGCCATATTCACTAAACCCTATAGACTTTCTGCGTTACTATTCTTTCTCCCTCAAACTTCTGCTTATCACTGTTCGTTGGAATCTCTTTCTTCTCTTGTGTTCTACATGGAGTGTGGCAACTTGAACTTCTGTACTTCTGTGCAAAGTTCTATGTTGAAACCACTAAGTCAGTAATCAGTCAGTAAAAAAATCTAGTTATTCAAATGTTAAACAAAAATAAGGTCTTGTTTTCAATTCCTCATGGAAAAGTACCTTTTATTTTTATAACTAATGAATCAGCGTACTTTCAGGAATAACATACCCAAGGACAAGTTATAGGTAGTTCAATATGAGTGAGACACTGTAATGAGTAATATTCGGAAAATAAATCATGTTTTTATATGACCTGTCCGTCGCTAACAGACACGATGAGAACGAATGTCAATGTAGAATTACAGCGATGATTTGCCTAATCAGACTATCCATCCTCTTATCAACACGGCAAGATAAAAAAGCTAATGAAAAGATAGTAAGGCGGTTGTTCAATTGAACCGAATATTTTAAAGTAGAACTTTGTACAAAACTACATCAGTTTACACGGCCATACTCCATGACCAGCCGACGGGGGTGACTTAACGGAAATTACTGTAGATTTTCGAAGTTTTAAGGATGATATAGCGTAAGCATTTCTCCACAGTAGTTTCTACAAAGTAATGGAGACGAACCACATAACAGACACCTCGGACCAAAAGTTCCAAACTTCATATAGTAATGGCATCTATCAATCTAACTTCCTCTAAGCTCCCAAACTATATTTTAGGTGAAGTAGCTTTTTGGAGATAATAGCTCGGTATGTTTCGTGCATTATACTCCATTATTAAGTGTGCGTGAACAACAACTTTTAACCAACATCTCTACTTCTTACCTAACCATCACTCACCATATGATTAGACTACACAAAAAGGCAACTTAACGAAGATATCTATGATCGACAATCAGTAATCATGTTATACCACGGTAGACTACTGAGCAGCACACTTGGCTAGTAGATAAGTAGCCATATATTCCATCGGTGTCATAAACAAATTACTCAACTTCAAAACGATTTATTCATTTACGTACACAAGTTTCAACCAATCAATTGGACCGAACCATAAGTCGATTTCAGAACCTTTACTATGTACTCTTTTCTGGTTTGATCATGATTTAGTGTGTTGTGATAGTCATAATCACTCAATGGGATAAAGTACAGTGAGAATTTTAAAATAAAAAAGCCAAATGAATGAAAGATTGACTGCTGAAATTTTATCAAGAGAAATTACGCGCTATACGCACGACGGGAATGATTTCATGTCACACAAAGATATCTGATAAATACATATGTATGTAGGTCTCTCCAGATACTGAAACTCACAAAACAAAATAGCATTGACAAAGTATGTATATAATCATCAATAATGGAGGCAAACAATGCGATACCTGAGACTTGTTTGTCAAAAATAAGTAAGAGAAAATATAAATGACAATTAGCAGTACCTCATGAGCGAAAATGTGATTGACCTCTCCTGACCTTCAATTCGTAATGCGTTCCCAGTTCCAATGTCCAATATCTTAGCAGTCAGAATGCAGAAACTTATTGCTCTCCAAGTGCCCATTTTTCGTCGCTAAAAAGTAGAAGAAAAAAAGCTACAGCGAACACGAAATCGCCTCAAGCAGATAGTCTGAAAGAGGATTGAAAAACCTCAGAATAAATCTTACCGTAACAGTTTAGCCCCGTCCCTGGTCTAACCCTCAATTTAACTTTATCCCTGAATCTCAATTTAGTCGTTAACTTTAATGCTGGACGTTAAAAGTAGGTAAATGGCATCGGAAGAAAACACTTGAAGTAAATTTGCAATGCATTCATGATGGTGTCTGTAGTTAACTTCGTCAGGAGTGATTCCGTACGTTCGACGGCTTTTGTTGAACTGCTGAGCGTAGTACGCAAGCAGTTATCAGTTTATTTCCTGGGAAATTCATAGATGATTTTAAGATGCAGCTGGTACTGAGTTTTGAGCTTTTACCAAATAACTATCCATGTCAATGAAAAACACATCGATAAATGAAGAAATTCTGAGTGAAATGTACCAGACGCGAAGAAATAACTGTAAATAAATATGAGATGGAATAACGGAGTCACAGATAAACATTTTGGTTAAAAGTGCATTGAAACGCCCGAATATAAAGTTTAACTGTACCAGCCTTATCTGGAATTCGCATCGTTCTTCTGGCTAGATTAATTCCTCACAGAGGGAATAGGCCCCTCTATACTATTACCTGAGATTTAATAACGTCAAAAGCTGGTGGACCACAGCAGCTTGATTATCGATTAGCTGCCCATCAGGCGCTACTTTCTGGCTATTCCAACTCTCCACAGCGTTATATCAAGACAAGGAAATGTCACAGAATATGAGTTATTCGGCAGGTCAGTGATTAAGATTTAGAATATGAGTGGCCCTAGGGTAGCACCTTAAGAGCATGACCTTCTCCACTTAAAGCGCATCACAGTTGTGTTCGTACGCAATCTTGTACTTTTGAAGTAAGCTGCAATCTAGAACAGAAATTAGTTCCCAGTCTCTATTTTGCAGACTCTTCGGGGATAAATCCCCTGTGATACGGTCAGAATCTTGTTATTTGTAGTAATAGTAGAATCCCTAGAGATTTTTAGCCACCCATTATGTTTTAACTTTTATCAGCTGCAATAAAGTAAGAAGCACAGAAGTTGCCTGCTCAGGAATCACTCCTTGGGAAGAAATCAGAGACTCAGCACCATGATAGACCATTCCACTGCTTAACACATTTGTGGTACAAAATTTTTCTCTGAGTGAAAGCAATTTGCTTGTTCTGTAGTATAGAAATACGCAGGAAAAATTAACGGTGAAACCACTATGTATGAAATACGGAGCGGAGTAGCAGCTCAGTCACAGATATGAGAGTGAGAATAAACCACATTTTGTTGAACTGCTCTTTCTTTGAAGTAATTGGGACCCCATAGTCTTTTAGGCTGTTTATATTTGAAATAAAGAGTCACTGTTTGACGCCTTTGTTCTCGGTGTTGTACGATACATGCGCTATCCCAAATATGTCTTTGGCGACACCTCTGAAGTGTCTGAAGAGGGGTTACAATACTTTAAACTTCTATTCCACTACTTGTAAGAATTAGTTCGTCAGAGTTAATAAACAGGTAACTTGGCGTGAAATGCAAAATTGGTGAGATTGCACTAAAATGAGAAGGGCAAATCAGTTCCACTACAAATAGGGGTAAAAACATACTGTGAAATACTTACGTGCTGAAAAAACTCCTAATGAAATCGTTTTATGCATAAAAATAGGAGTGTAAAAGACAAACTAGTTCAACCCTAAGGGGTAAGCATTCATGTGAGGATAACCATGCTCTGTTCTATGAGGATAAATATTATCGAAGGTCAGATGAAGTCACATTAGGCAGCATAATGGTGATATTTTATCATTAGGCTGTGATAATTTTGTCGTGTCCGAATTAATGCTCCATGTTAAATGCTCAACAGGTCAGTGTGCACTATTCAGATTTTGACTACAATCTACAGCTTCTAACAACCATACGTAGACCTAATTTTGCGATTTGTAGAGTTTGAGGCAAAATTTCTACAACAGCTTCATTTACAGTCTGAAGTCATCATAAATTTTGATCTGCTCCATACCACTAATGGCAGTCATTAGAGAAAGCCTACTGATGAATTGATATTTGTAGATGGCACCAATCACAACAACTAGTCCTCTCTAGCCAGATCGAAGTGATTTGGGCACCAGATAGCCATTTTACCATAGTATATACTAGTACGAACTAAATAAATCACTTACACTTCGCTTCGGGTAAACTTGCGCTCTGTAAGAAAACAAGTTAGTGGCAACACACCAGTAGAAATGCCAAGAAGTGAACTTAGACAATAAGTCTGCGAGAAAACCTCCCAATGCCGCTGAAATGCGAATCATTTAATGTACGTTGTCACTACTGGCCTCCTCAACAGGCATTTATGAGTTCACCTACTGCTTAAGAGCAAGATATCTTGAAACCACCAGACGTTCGCCGTATAACATCTTATTTCTGCCGTTATAAAGCGTTGAGAAGGTTCTCTTGAATCGCCAATAGGTCTGAAGTTCAAAATCAACTCTATCTGTCTCATTACGATAAAATGTATGGTATCATCAGGGATCACACAGTAGGAGTGACTGATTGCGTGGTGCATGAAAAATCTCAATAGGATAACTGAGCTTAAGCATACTAACTAACGGACATTGATGTACTTATTTGGTATCCATTTGGAATTAGCCCTGACTCCAAATGTATCTGAGTACTAATAATGACGTTTTGCAATAGGCCTTATTTTCAAGTACTATTCATCAGTAAAATAATTTCTTGAAATTTTAGAAACAGTTGCATTTTTTCCTCAGACAGCCAACTTGGATGCTTGCATCTTGCGAGATGATTCCTCAAGAATTCCTGGAATTCAAAGGTTTATGTATAAAGTTGCGGGCCATATTACATTCTGGCAAGAATGACTCCACTAGTCACTGAAAGGCTCTAATATAGCTCGACTTGGAATGTAGCAGAAGGCCAGGTATGGTAAACTACTTCCTATCTTTTCACGGCGAAAAACCACAGAATCTAGTTTCTACCGATACCCTGTACCATTCCTATCTAAACAGTGCATCATATGATGTATGAACCTCCTACATTTTGTAGGATTCCAATCAAATATACGATCCTCTCTCGATGACACAAGATATGACAAATTGGCTGAGTGACTGAATGATAGAAAGACAGGGAAAATTAGACGAGATGGAGTTGCGAAAAAAGTGGAAAAATTAGGGCAACGGACGATTGACAGAATAAAACATAAACGTCTGAAGGCCGCATTTGATAGTACAAGTGCGTTTAGTACAGGGATAAAAACTACAGAGTGGGCGCCAGGAGCCTTAGATGATGAAATTTTCATGTAAGAGATCTTTGTACGAATGATATGTTTTCATTATTTTGACAGCTTCGTGACTGATCGTGTGTTCGGCTCAGTGATTGAGCAAGTAAGTTGTATATCTAATCGCTCACAGAATCTAGCTATTTATCCATTAACTGCTGTAGCTATCAACAAATACAAATATTGGAAAATTTCTTGAACCCCTGCCATTATTCTACTTGTCTATCCGCCTTTTGTGAGAAAAGAAAGGCAGTTATTCTTATCTCACATTACAAATTCCAGTGCAGCATTCGGTATAAATTGGAAGAGCTAAAATGAAAATGGCCACCAGACAGAATATTATACAGTACTTTTCCACAATGCAGTGAACATCTAAATTTTCCTTAAGTGCCAGCTTTTAACTAGTTGCATACACTCCACCCTCATATTTATCCTCGAGGTTGAGCTTTAGAGAGAATACTTGTTGTTATTCAAAGTGATTTGGTCTGATCAGTGGATATAGATGAGCAACTTAATTTTATTCATTCCCTTACCTGAACTTCATATTTTTATTTTCTTATTTCTTTACTTTATATTTTATTATTCTTTCATTTATCCAGTATCTCCAGCAATCGGGATATGACATTTGGCTTACAGTACACACGGATTTCCTTTTAAAAAAGACATTTGGCACTAATATGTTGAAATTTATGGAAAATAATGTAAAGCCTCACAGACATGAGTAATTAATTATTTTCCAACCAACTACATCTCAAGTGGCTTAAATGTATTATAATAATATTTTATTTCTGGAACAGAAAGCAGCCATTTTTACAGGCATGAACATATGTACACTAATTAGAACTTATAGAATATATATGATCTGTTAATCTAGAAATAGATTGAATACTGGTAAATTTGAGAGAAATATTTAAAAAGAAATGTACAAATAAGGCAATAGGTAATTTTCGAGATACGCTTTCAACTGAATAATTCATGAGATATAGCGTCAAATCAAAAGTGTAATTGAAAAAAAATACGGTATGTCAATTTCACGCGGGAATTATAAACGATCAGTGCGCGCTCCTTGAATACGACGTGCATTTTCCCGTCTAACAGGAAATATCCACTTTTGTGAATAATTCGTTTGGGAAACCTGATCTTCCTATCCGGCGAATTTTATTCAACCATTTCTTCTTCACCGAGCCTGTGTTTGGTACTTCCCACTGTCTCGAACTACTGCCCAAGCTTCAGGTGCTACTTCTGTAGCAACATCCCCCTCACTCTTTCAAATATACAGGACTTGTTGGTCTGTTACGTGATTGTTGTGAAGCCGAATAACCCGAAAGTTACAGGTAAAGTCAAAAGCTTTTACTTATATACTTTATCTTTCTGTTCTGTGCTTTCTACTGTCTTTTGCCGTCAGTCTATTGGACAAAACTCCACTGTCTCTTATCATTTAATCATCGGTATTATTTTAGGAGTAAAATGACTATAGATTCTCACCCCAAGATAAGTAATGGGAGACAGTATACCGTAGTCACCAGAGCTTCAGCCAAACTAAGCAAACAGGTGAAGGTGATGGAATCTCGCATACCGGTCTTGAAGA